AGCTTCGATAATTTGACCTAGATTATTATCTGATTTTCCAGATTTCTCAAAAAGTATTGCCCAATTATTACGAATCCAATTCCAGGCAGGTTGATTTGCTCGAGGCGAACGAGCAACATTTGCTATTGACCATGGTAAATCTTGATCACGAATAATGGAATCATTTATTAAATGTTGATCGAGAAACCAAATAATCAATGATGAATCTTGTGTACATGCGAGACCTTGAAGTAAATTTAATGTTTCACTAGCAACTGTTTCTGTTTGAAGACGAGTCCATAAGAAATTAAATTCAGATTGTGTACCTTCACGAACAACTGTACAATAGACGACTGAACGTAGATCAGCTGGAATTTGATTAAGAGTAGGATTCAAATACCAACGACGGTAGATATTGCGTGCTGCTTCAACACATTCTCGATGACCATATTGACAAACAGTCGATACAATATTCGGTTGTAACAGAGCTCGAAGCCATTCAGTTGAATGGTCAATTGTCGTCCATCCGAAAGTATTGTAAATAGGAAGAATAAGTTCAAGAAAATACTTTTGAACATCAACAAGAATATTACGATCAGCAAGTAATTGTTCTTGTTGATCCATTGCTTTCAATGCTGCTATCCACGGTACAAAGTCTGTCTCACTCTTCAGATATCGAATGAGTTCATAGGCATCCGTTATATTCATAAGACCTGCACGTGATAGAGCAAACGTATCATCGATAAGAGCACCTCGAGTAATAGTTGGAATACGTTTATGATTTGTTTGAAGTTGAGTAATAATGAGATGGAAATTGTATGTGTCATACTTTGTTCGATAGATACTGAGATAATCAGGATTGGCCAAGATCCAATCTGAATCTGAAGTAATGATATTGATCGTGGCTGATGTATCATTGAGCCATATAATTTCACTTCCAGACAATTCCTATAGATAATAGAGAGTAAAGACATTGAACGGTAGGGTGATTGATTTCTTTACCTTAGTATATGTTTGATTGAAGTATTTAAAAGGAATCCACCATTTGTCTTGTTTGGATGTTGTTGAAAAAAGACTGAAAGGTCGTTGACTAATTATCATACGAGGTGTGTCAGTATTGTAAACTCGATTGACTTCAACAATTGGATAACCTGCTTGTCGTGTCCATCCTTCCATGATTTGTTCGACGTTAATTGTATTATTGGCAGCATCGCTCATATATTTCCATAACTGCTGCTGTGTTGCCGAGCCATAACTCAATGCTTTCAAATACGTTCGAATACCATGTTGAAATGTTTCAGCACCCAAAAACATTGACATCATACGGATGACTGTTGCGCCTTTCTCATAAGTAATCGAATCGTACAATTGAAAAATATCCGCTGGATTCGTTGATTGAATACTGATTGGTCGTGATGTTGGTAACGAATCAGCTTCGATAAATTCAAAGATCTTGTTGACAATAAATTGTTCTTCTTGCATCCATAAAGGTTCGACAGAATCGGCGGCTAATGTTTCCATGTAAGTAGCAAATCCCTCTTTTAACCATCTATATATTATTGAAGATTAGATGATAAATAATTTTAGGAAAAAATACTGTGAGAACTTACAGCTCATTCCACCAAGCCGGTGAAACCAAATTGCCAAACCATTGATGAGCTATTTCATGGGCTATTAATAAGGTGATATCTTGTTTTCTTGAAGTTGATACGATTTTCTCATCGAAGAATAGGCCCACTTCAGTGTAGATCAACAAACCTAAAACGAGAAGAATTTAATCATGAATTGAAGTTTATTTCATTCAAAGAAATTTTATGTTTACCATAATTTTCCATAGCACCTCCGCCAAAATCAGGAACAGCGAAATGTTCAATTTTAGGCAATGGATAATCTATATCAAAGTATGTATTGAAAAACTCCAATACTTTGTAGGCTACTTCATCGGCATAAGCTAATTGCGAAAGAATATCGACACGTCCACAAATTCTCGATGTGATATTCTTAGAATTACTAATAAGATTTGGTCGACATGCAAAATCAGATTTGGGTGCCATTATAAATGCCAGTAGAAATGTGGACATATTCAATGTTGGGGTAAAATGTGTAACTATTCGTCCATCACTAAGTGTTTCAGTTCTATCAATTTCTCCATTAGACCATACAGCATACGAAGAATCATGTATGATATTGATTATAAAAATAGCTTTACGCGCAGGCTCATCAACACATGGAAAAACACCTCGAGCATAGGTTGGTTCCATCTGAGATGCCATGAAGATACCATCTTGTCCATTAATATCAACATAATCACTTATATATAGACCATTTAAATCACGAATAATATCACCTTCATAATCTATGTGAATTGTATAGGTGGTTCCTGGAATAAAATCCGACGAAAATTTGATTATCATAAATTCATTATAATCATCGTAGGACCATGAATGAAACGTGGGTGTCGAGTTGGAAGGTGAATTGATAATGCTTATAGTTGAATTGTTAATAGACAAGTCTGCCATGTGTAGTACCATTTCACTGGTAGCTGCAACGCAGACAAATGTGTACAGAAGATTTCCTATAATGAAAGAGACGTTTAAAAAAATATTCGTTAGAAATATTGTAAACTTCAAATATTATCTCAATATGGACTATTCAAAATTTTTGTTTTTATCGAATTAAATATATTCTATAGATTGTCTGTTTCTAAGGATAAAACTAAACGAATATTATCACAATGATCGTGATACGCTCCAAAAAAATTCAAACAATTTTTAAGAAATTATAGGTGTATTGCTTCCTCTAGATCACAATCCTAATTCCACGACTAGTGTTTTAATATAAGGTTATATTGAACGTCGTAATACAGACATTATTTCTATCGAAAGTGTGTTTACCTGTGAATGATTCATCTATAAGATCAGGCGTAATAGTTAAGTGATAAAATAGCTGTTGTAAATTGGTAGGAATGCGTTGAACAGGTGGTAAAGAAGAAATTGTCGTTGTTGTAGGTAAACTAGTAGTGGTAGTAGTTGATACTATCGTTAATCCAGTTTCAACCTCATTTTTACTCTTTTGATTAACACCAAAATAGATAGTTAATACGAGTAAAACAATAAATATAGCAGCAGACAATAATACCACAGGCCAAAACAGTTTCTTTGACACACTATAAGTACTTTTCCGAGTCGTTTCTACATCAGACTCGTCAATACTGAAACTTTGCATCTATATTTTGGTAAATATGTAATATATGATAAGGAAATTTTAATTAATTACAGTTAGTAGAAAACAAAGATCTCAGGTGTACGCCTGTTGGAAGGTCCTATTAGATATACTAGAAATTTCATATTGAGCAGAAAAGGAATCCTATTGATATATATAATATATTTGTTCGTCTCATTCAAGTTGAAAATAGTAAGAAAGAAAAAAAAAGAAAAATTAATTATTTCTAGCGACTGCTCAAAAAATAGTATCAATCAGAAGATGTTGAAGTCTGTATTGGAATAATTTAACAAGTAGTATCTAAGATGAATGTCTATCATAAACGTTTTAAAAATAAGAAAGATTACTGAAAGAAATTCTGTAGTGTCTAAGATAAATATAATTACAATAAAAGTGTTGTACTGTATCTCTCGCTTTAACGACAACTTATTTCTGTATACGTGCAAGAAGTAAATATCATCACATACATGTTTTTTGCCTCTCTCTCTCTCCACCTATTTGCTCTTAAGATACCGTTAATATTCGTTCTACTCTGTTTTAACGATTATTCAATAAAAAATGGTTGCTTTAAGTCGATTGCCCTTCTATAAATCTTCGATATACATATATATATATGCTTCATCATTGTAATGACGCACATGGTGATGATATTCAAGTGAAATAGACATAAAAGTGATAAGATATTTACGAGTCAACAGTGCTTAATGCACTTTTTTATGATATCATATTTAACAGTTTCTGTCAAGATAATCGAAATATTTATGAAGTCAAGCAAGAGATGGAGATGACGATGCAATGATTAGAGCAAAAAAGAAGAATACTATCGTCATTCTTATAATATATGGTGCAAACATAATATAAAAAAAGATGAAGTTGTATTAGACAACATTTTCAGCTTGAAAATAAAACATTACTCATAGTTTGCAACAATCTATATTATTGTTATTATTATCTTCTTCCTTCGTAGATACAACTAAATATATTTTTATCTTTACATCTCATATTTTTCTCGGATATTTTACGTTACGAGTTTAATCATACGAATAAAATATCTATATCTATGTACTCTGAGTTATAAATAGGGTCTATCTTATCTAGAAATCATCGAAATGTTGAAAATAAAATTTTTTATGACGTAGTATATTTCGTCAAAAGATAATAATATTGTAGAATACGCTGGATTCTATTTTGTTCTCTAAATACACGGTGAATATGTATTCGATTTTGCCTTCTATTTGGTCTATTTTGTCGAAAAATACGTGGTATTGATTTTTTAACTCCTTTCTCAATGAAACTTCTTGCATTATCATATTTAACATATAAATTTAATAAACCACAATTATCAAGTTTTTGCAAATCGTTAATTGATAATTTTGTTAATTTATTTAGCTGAATAATAATTGTATTTCGTTTATAATCGACTTCGAAATAAATAATGGTTGTTTCAGATATGTATATTCACATGCATATGAAGAAAAAATGAACGTTTTTTTTCATTCGAGATGATGATAAAACATAATATACTCGATCGATTAAAAATGAAGTCTCTAGCTGATTATATTCTTGAGTTATTCAAAATTCATAGAATAGATAACATTGATTTTAACTTTTTTTCACGTTAATATTCGAACAAATAAGTATAAAAAAAAATAAAAATTCTATCCTAAAAAAGAAGAAAAAAAGGCGAGTAACCATAAAAAATAAAATATCTTAGGGTTTAACGTCGAATAGATATATAAAAATAAATACAATGCACTAACAAAAAAAATGTTTTTCTTATTATATTATCAATTGAAATATTACTTTTTAGGAAGTAATATTTCTTCAACATCTACATCTTGTTCTTTTATATTTTGATTATTATCGGAAAAAAGATGAAGTGTATGTGACATTTGTTTTGTTGGTGATGATGATGATGCTAACTTGTCATAATATGATAAATCATACAGTGATTCATCATTTGTATGTACAAGACATGATACACATTCAACAGCATTTCTGCGTTGTGCAGTACTACTATCATCAGATGAATTTGTATTTGATATTATCTGTGATTGTGTAAAAACCCTTGATCGATCAGTTTTATCCATTTCAATAGCTTCTCTACGTTTTAAGAATTTTTCACGTTGTTGTTGTTCTTTATAATAATCACTAAAATTATTAACTATAATTGGTATTGGTAATGCAATAACAAGTACACCACAAATACCACAAACTGAACCAATTAATTTACCCGATACAGATTTTGGATACATATCACCATAGCCAACTGTTGTCATCGTCTTGTTTTTTTGTTAAAAAAGAAAACAAAAAGAAAGTTTTTCATACAAATTAAAATATAAAATACGATCTAGTTATCTAAATCTATCTATTTCAGAATACATTACTATTGATACATATTACTCGAAGTGTCTGTCAACGATAATTATTTTCTCCTATACACTTCGATATTATCTTTTAGATTATATTTGATAAAAATTCTTCAACTTACAACAATAGCCCACCAAAAAGCATGTGGAATTGATCGAAATTGAAGTGCATTTCCATCTTTTTCAGCGTAATAAGCTAAACTTGAAAATAATAATATCGATATACCAAGAAACATTAAAAGCATAAATAATTCTTTTGAACTTCGTTTTAATGTATAACCTAATGATTGAAGATCAGTTGAATAACGTGCTAATTTAAGTATACGTACTATACGTAATACACGAAATACTTGTACAGTTTTTCTAACACTTTGTAAATCTTTTATATTATCCATATATATTGTTTCAAGTGTAATTGAAATATAAAATGGTACAATAGCAATAAGATCAATTATATTTAAAAGACTTTTCAAAAATTTACATCGATTTGGTGTTGTAAATATACGAATAATATATTCAATTGTAAACCATGATATACATATTAATTCAATAAGAAATAAAAATAATGGTTCATTACATTCATCAGGAATTTTATCTTGTTGAGAAATTCGATGATTTGAAGATGTTTGTTCTTCATTCATTTCAATATTAGTCATATTTGGTGTACAACCAATACCTTAATAGAAAAATATTATTTTGAAATAAAAATGTTATTTTAAATATACCTTCGATTGTACCTATAATTAATGTAAGGGTCGAGAGTAAAATAAAAGCAATACTGATAAAGACAATAATCTAAATTTTATGAAGAAATTATTCTTTGAAAAACAAAACAAGACAAAAAGCATACACGTGCGGCTATTGATGTTTGAGGATGTTCAACAAGATCCCATATTTTTCGTTTAATATTTGAACAATAACCTTGACCATATGTATCATGTTTTTCAACTTGAGTTAATTCACTTTCTTTTTTTATTTCGTCTAAAACATATTCTTTTTTTTGATAATATTTATTCAAACAACATAATTCTAAATAACATTCTTCAATACCCCAATAAATTAAATCATCATGAAATGATATCACACATATATCATCAACTAAATGAAGTTTTCCTGTACGATAAAAATTAATTATTGATGTAAATGAACGTGATGAACGATCGAAAAAAAATTCACCATTTGATAAATCATAATCATCACATAAGCGTAGAAGTTCATCATGTGAAATTGGACATGATAATAATATTGTTGATTGACGTAATTCTGCTAAACGACCTAGACGAGTATATGGTAGACGAGCAAGTGTACGCCACATTACTACAAATTTGAATTAGTTATTATGCAAAGAAAAAGAGAATTCAAATTACCTTCATGTTTAATACCACCGACATTTAAAATTATTCTATTATTGCCAGTATGAGATGAATCGTTACTTGTAGAACATTCAGTTGATATACAATGTAAAGGTAGATTATCGTTTGATGTATTGACTACAGAAGATAGCATAGGCTTATTTTCTTGTATTTCAATAGCTTCGGATTCATTATCATCGACCGGAATATTTGTTATGACTTGTTTGCGAATAGTACTATGTTGTGTATATTTAGGTGATGTTGATTCGAACAGATGTGATTTATCATCTGTATTTGACTGTATTGTAGAAGTATTTAACATGAGAGCATCTTAAATAGATATTATTATAGTATACAAGGAAAAAGAAAAATGGTTTCTTTTTTATTATTTTAAAAAATATCGAGAAAAAATCAAATCAATTACGTACGATTGTGTAAATAATTCAAGAGAAAAATCTGAAAAAGGAGATTAAACATAAGATAGACTTAAAATAAAAAATGACTAAAAATTCGATTAATATCAGCTATGTCATACTCTATTTAAGGTGATGAATAGCAGTTTTACAAGACTCAGATTATTTTTTAAATCTAAAATCGAAATTATGAAAATTGTATTTTTCCTAGTTTCGATTAAATCAATAAAAAATTTTTACTAGGTAGACAGGGTTTTTTTTCATAAAGTATTACCATTTCTTGTATATTATGACTCTAACGATGTTTATCCTGGTTTTATGATTTCTTCTCATTCGATGTAATTACCCTTATTATTTTATCCTTATTTTATACATCATGCAATGCGTTGCCTCCACCTTATTTCGTTCTTATTGTTCTTTTTTTTTCATGTTTTTTCGTTCTCTTTGATGGATGAGTATATAAATGTATATACTTGGTATGAAATCGATACGATTCATGGTATGAAGAAATATAATAGAACGTCATTTTTCAAAATAATCTACCCATAATAATGATTGCTCATTTTGACAGTATAAACAGAGTTAATATATCCAAAAGATGATGATGTTGTAGTCTGGTTGATTGATATTCTAATACTTAGAATATATAGTATGTCAAAATAATTCATACGAGCTTCAGAAAAAAAATATATGGAAGTGACTGTTGTTGTTTTGTCTTGTGGCCCTGTCCTTGAAACAACAAGATGTTATGTTTAAATAGACCAAAAACACCTTGCAATAAGTAAAGTCCAGATATAATTTCGTATGAATGATGTTACACCACAAGTATACATGTAAAAGTTTCTCTAACTATAAATAATTAGTTGTAATCTGGTATTTGTTGTATCACAGTATTAAGATATAATTACGCCATCCCAATTTGAAACAATGTATACATAGTAGTTCCAACTTCAAATTACTTGTAGAATGCTAGCGCAGTTGCTACTTCATATTATCGTGGAAGACTGCAGGCTTTCTGGTTGAAAATTGATTATAATCTAATTTTTAGCCATTTTTCTTTTACATGAGTAAAGTATTGCAAAAGCAAATATAACTTTTTTTTTATCAATATAATCATATTTTTTCAGAACTTATAGAACCTTTTACAGTATCATTGTGAATAAAAAGGTCAAAATATTAGTTGCCATAAATTTGTGATTAAAAATAATATGATAATTGATAAATTGAAGACATTCAATTAAGACTAAAGTCTTTATACAAGAGTTTTTTCTTTTCTACTTCGAATACTGATAGTTCATGATTTAGTAAAATCTCTTATAAAAATTTGCTTGTCGAAAAAAATATTAAGCAGAAAAACTTAAACTTACCAGTAAATATTAAATGATTTGGTCAATAGTTCATTTTTACGACTGAGTATGATTAAGTGAAAACCACTTGAGTTTTGTTTCAATTAAATTGTGTTAATAAAATGATCCAGTATAAATATCATGTTATATTTATCATAGAAAATATAAGAATAATTCTTCGATAGTTGTTGAAAAATTAAAATAGTATTTAATTCAAGATTTTGAACTTAGAAACTAGCTGATTCTATGTGGACAGCTGCAACTCAAATCATATGTGACTAATAAACTAATAATAACAACTTGAATATTATCACTCCTATTACATGAATTATAGCATACATAGTTTAAAAATCAAAACCTGTGAAAATATTAATATAAACTACAACTCAACTCATAGAACTTGTTTTTTGCTTTTCTACTATAGTTACTGTAGCATTTTATGATTAAGATCTTCTATCATCAATATGTATTAACAGTAGTTTGCAATTTACAAACTAAAACATTGATTGGTATGTTTATACTGTATAACTAATGCTAGCAAGTTTTACATTTGAAATCTTGATTTTGTATAGATAGTGAGAATGATCTTGAAGACGAAGACATCATCAATTGTACTACAAAAATCGATCGAAATTTGTGAAGAAAAGTAAAGAGATACCTTATTTTTCTTCTTAATCTGCTCACGATTTACTAATGTCGTTATCAATTTGTAACAATGAAAATATAAAAAATATGTTATTCATCCAGTCAACAAGCTATAACATAATAAAATCATTGAGACAGTATAGATCAAATTCCGATAGTATAATTATATTTATCAATAAATGGATGACTAAATAAATTCGGAGTCGAAGACGAACGGATTAATACACTACCTATGACTATAAACAGATGTAAAACGTGCACGTTTTTTATTTTTTCATTATCGCAACGATCATTGATGCATAGATTACCTATGTTTGATTTACATCAAATAGAAGAACACATCGAGGACATTCTTTTTTTCGTAGCACGCGTAGCGAATATTATTCAAAATCAATATAAGCAGAGAAAAGAGGAAAGATACTTTAATCAGCTCTATTATATTACAATATGAAGATTGATGAGACTATGCAAAAAGTGAAACCTTATCTATATTTATATCATACAGTATCAAAGTCTTTCACTTCATTATTCAATAAAATAAAAAATAGTTTTTTTTATCATATTCTTCTAATACAAAAATTCCATAAAATTATCGATTTTTTTATATAATCTCAGATACATGTAACATTTTTATCTTTACTTATCTATGTTGCGAAAATCGCGATGATTTCGAAAAAAACAATCGGCATAAAATCATGTTTAATCGCTGTTTGTAAAAATATTGATGATTAAATCAGTGCAATAAATCATGTTTAATCATTAATTAGAAAAAAAAGAAAAATTTCATTTTTTTAGAATATCATCATTCTGATATAAACAAGATCGAATCAGAGAAGTCTTGTTGTATTTATATTCGTTTGATTCGATTTATGTTTACTAGTAAAATGCATTACAATTATCATTTTTATATTCAATATCTATTGGGAGAAAAATGAATAGATCAAATTTTGTTTGGAATTTATTGGGCAGAGATATTAAATAATCGGCAAAGAAAATCAATCTCGAAAGTAATAAGTATCCGTGTGAGGTCTAATATATTAATTTCATGGTGTATTATTCATAAATTGTGATTGATGTATTACAACTATATAAATAGTTTCACCCATGAAAATTTCTGTTAATCAAATACGAATAAAATGCATAATCAAAGACTTAGTAATAAATTTCTCGATGAATTTATTTTTACATTGAATTAGATTCAAAATGAAATGAATTTATGATAAATATATTTTAATGTAATTGTCCCAGGCAAAATTTGCTTTTCTTTCCGCGCGAAAATTTGAATTTTTTTTTTGGTCAGGCAAATTAGTAACAATTGATAAGATAAATAACGTAATAATTGATTAAGAAAAACTTATTTTAAAATATTTTATTGAGTGGAAATGATAAAACTTACTCAATGAAATAAAAATAATCATTCTACTCACCTCACTGATGTAAAAAAATTTATGATCTTCTTTAAAACAGTTTTCGTTATATTTTGTTTTAAACATCTTCCGCATTCTACATTTTCCTAAAACTATATTCATTTTTTATTGAATACAACTTTATAACTTTGAAAAATTTTAAATAATAATAACAACTGAATTATTTTTTGAAAATTTTAAAATCATATGATCATAGAATCATTTTAAAATGAAGTTTAACTTTGCCTAAACCTTAATTCTACCTGACACATAATCTCTATATTGATTGCGTATCGTAATTCTTATAAAAAAAAATTATTTGAAAAGTGGTATCAATAGAAGTGGCGTATTCTAAGTTACAGCAGTAGAAAAAATAAAATTGTATTATAAAAAAAATCAATATTCTTTTTTTCATTGAGATGATCTGCGTGTATTGACGCACTATTGATTAAAGTTAAAAGATTATCGATTAATCAGTTAACATGAAATAGTTTTTTTTATTTATCGGTATTTCTTCGATACTCTTCTTGTTAACACTTCAACTAACAACTCCATCAAATATATTGTAATAATTTACATTATTATTTATTTTACCAGAGTATTGCGAAAGCTATTCTTATGTCAGATATTGGTTGAATTATAATTAAAGATTATATATCATATTAAATTTAATTTATTTATGTCAATGTATCCAATATAAACTTAGTGTACAAATTACTTCAAATAGCGCTTTATTAGTAGAAATGAATTTTCTGCTGAATGGAAAAAAGAATGAAATTTTTGTTGTAAATAATTAAGTTATAACAATGAGTAAATTAAAAATATTGTTCTACAGCTTCTATTAACATAATTTATGAAACAAACAACTTCTTTTTCTTTTTTTATAACAGTTATTTTTTTAAACATGTGCTTGAATAATTATTAATTTAATTAAAACTATATTAATCGTACTCTTACGTTATTTTTTTCAAGACATATTACTCAATGTCATATATACAGAACGAGAGAACAGAACTATAAATATATCAAAAGTCTCGTTGCAATACATTCTTTTGAGTTTCGATATTATTTTAGCGTAGGAATATATGCATCAGTCGGTAGATGTCGATAATAATTTTCTATTCAGGAAAAAAGTACAAAATCATTGAAGTAGAAAAATAATCAATAATAATATTTCAATTGATGATCGATGAAAAAGAAAAGGTGAATTGGCAGACTAATATAACGTAAAATATTGAATGATGAAGAGTTTAGCCGTTGATTTGTATAGAGATCAACAGAAATTTCGTAAAAATGCTTTTTTTTTACCTACAGCTTTATCTATTCTTATGTAAAACTTCAAGATTTTGTGAAAAAAAATTCCGATGAATGTCATATAGTAAGATATGAGTCACATTCGTTTTTATGCGGATGAATTTTATAAGAGTAAAAGTAATTACATAAGATACTTTTACTAAATGAAATGTCTGAAACTATTTCCTTAAGAAATAGACATCGTTGTTTCTCGGATTGCTTGAAGTTTTTTGCTAGTACAAGCTGTCGCGTTATACTTTCTTTCGTTCTTATGAAACTATTGTGTTTCACCCTTTTTTTTTCTTTACTTCCCTCGTCACGTTACTTGTTTCTTTTTCTATTAAATCTTATTCATCACATTTTTCATTAGTTTATTTTATAAAAAAAACGTATCATTTTACTCTTTAATAGTTTTTTTTGAATTTATTATTATAGTATGAATTTAACTTCACATATCAAGTCCCACACAAATACTGAGGATTCTCAACAACATAAAATTCGAGTTATTGCCTTTGACTATGGTAAAGTAAGTGAAATATTGAGGTATACTTTGTATACTAATCTTCTCTTCAACTATACTTTATAGGTGGTGTATTATTCCATGATGGAAAACAGCGAGCAGTAGATAAACTGAAAAAAGAACATGGATATGATGGGGATATTATTTGGAAACTTATGACTAGTCCTGAATCATGGGATCTAAGACGAGGCAACATTTGTAGTAATGATTTTTGGAAATGGGCACAAGAACAATTACCAAAAGGTAAATATAAGAGTTGAGATAATCGTTAAAATACCGAGTATTCTACTACAGATAATTTCGATAATGTAAATACATTTATTTTTACTGAAAGTAATTTCTCCTTATTTGATAAATTAAGACGAGCAGAAAAATATATAATATTAAAGAATATTTAATTTTTTAAGGTTATGATTCACAGCTTATATGTGATACATGGTGCAATGAATATATAATGGATAAAGATATATTAGATTTACTTCGACGACTTAAAGGACATAATTATCGTATTATATCTTATACAGATGGTATTCCTGAACGAGTAGAATATCTTGAAAATAAATATCATTTTCGACATTATTTCGATGCAGAAGTACAGAGTTCTGATTGGCAAGCTGTTAAAACAGATGAAGCATTTGCTCAAGCTCTTCTAAAAACAGCAGAATGTGAGACAGATCCCGATGCATTATTACTGATTGATGATCAAGAAGATGAAGTTCAACATGTAAAAAAACTTGGTGCTAATGTCATACTTTACAAAACAGGGTTTCTTAACGAACTAGTTAATGCTCTACGAAATATTGGAATTCAATGCTAGCAGAACTAATAATTCATTTTTTTATATACTATTCTATTTTTTTGAATAAATTCGTACATTATTTCATGTCTTAGGATTGACTTTTCTTTTAAGAGAACGATAATTTGTTAATATTTAAAGATAAATTTATGATTTATACCTCAATTATTGACATGAATTCACTTTCGATTTTCTATCTTTTTTCTAAAGATGCTGCTTTGAAGAAAAAAAATCAATTCTATTTTAAATCCGTTGAATTATTTTATTTACTTTAGTCTATCACATGAATCGACGTAGAATTTTTTTTTTCTCTTGTTGTCAATACCTTACAATAATAAAACGAAAACATTTCACTATGTATAAAAATGAGTAACTTATATTTTTCTTCTACCTACTCAAAAAATATCAGATGGGAATATAAATTAGCGGACTATTACGCCTGTGCATCTCAGTATACAGCATTAACGCACGGACAAGTCACAGGTATATCTTTTTTTCTCTCCTCGTGATGCTTGAATTATGAGTCACGATTATTGTGTGTACGATTAAAAAATACTTCATAGGCGTATCCTTATAGCTGATTACTGACTCATTCGTTTCATTAAAGAAAAAAGAACAAGTAAAATTTATGCATCAATAATTGCTACAAAGAATGCAAAAATAAAAACGATTGTTTATTGTACTTTTTTACTTTAACCTTTCTACAGAAATAGTTAACGGTAATTAGTATACTAACTTTTCTGTTATTCAATACTATTCAAATGATATTTTTATATAGTAGAGTCTGATAGTGTATTTCTACTATTACAAAGAAATATTTAAATTAAGTTCATGTAGAAAACTAACAAAGATCCTATTTTTTTGTATTTTTATCATAGACATAATTTTCTTATTCTTCAACAAGTGATTAAGTAAGTAAAAAATTTTTTTTTTTCGCATACAATTTAAATAATTTTTCTGTGATCTATTGTATTAGTATCGATAGAGTCGATTTTATTTGTTAAATATTTAAGGATGTGAGTAATAAATGAGAAGAATACACACCCGCACACCGATATAGCTCTATTAATTTAAAAAATAATGTTTAGTAATACAGTATACGATGATGTTCACCGTTTTTTTCTATTTTCAGAATTAAATTAAATAAAACTTACATAGTTACCGTATTACTTGTTAGTTTAACTACGATAAAACTACTAGAAGTATAAAAATGTTTTCTCTACGCTTATTATCTCCATGTGTTGTCACATCGATTTCTAAAACAGTATTATCTCGGACTATTTCACATAATCAACAACAAAAATCAAGTTATATTCAACCATCAGTTTCGAAAAAACATCAACTTATCAATGAAAATTTAATTAAACAGTTTCATGATGATGGATTTCTTATCTTAAATGATTTGTTATCAACTACTGAGAAAAAGAAAGTAATTGATTATGCTGATGGAATTTTAGCACTTCCTGAAACAGCTGGCAAATGGATGCAATATTATGAGATTAAAGATGGTAAAAAATTATTATGTCGTACGGAAAATTTCTTAGATTATTTTCCTGAATTAAATGAATTACTTCGTGGAAAAATTACCGATGCTATTTCACAATTATTAGGGACACCGGCAATACTTTTTAAAGAAAAAATTAATTTTAAATTACCTGGAGGAGCAGGATTTGGTGCTCATCAAGATGCACCTGCTTACACTACTTTTCATCAAGATCATCATCTAACTGTTATGATTGCTATTGATAAATCTGATACACAAAATGGATGTCTTGAAGTTGTTCGTGGAGAACATAAATCTGGAATGCTACCTCATCCAAATGGTGTTATGGAAAAATGGTTAGTTGAAAAATGGGAAAAAGAAAATAAATGGGAACCTGTAGAGCTTGAAGCTGGTTCTCTATTATTTTTTGGTTCAATGTTACCACATCGCTCCGGACAAAATGTATCAAATCGTCCTCGACGTGCTTACTATTTAACTTACAATGCTTTATCTGATGGAGATTTTCGTAAAGCTTATTATGCTGATAAACGAGAGAAATTTCCTCCTGCTATAGAACGTGTTCCAGGTAAAGATTATTCTGAAGGAGCTCGTGTATATAATTTAGCTAATCCTATTCCAACTTAAAATATTTCTTGCTTGTATTTATTATTTTTTCTCAATTTTATTTTCAAAACAACTTTTTTATTGATGTGCATTTTTTACATCAATTTTTCTTCAAAGAATAAATATTTACGTTTATTTAATTAATATGTCATTAATAATACATAACTGTCGATGTTTGACGTTGTTTCCTGGTTCTATTCATTTAAATGCGAGACATCTATTTTTATTGAAATCATATAACTTGATACATTATACATGATTTAAATTACTTATGCATCTATTCTTTAAAATATACACAAAGAGAATAATAAACTAAGCAATACTATAAAGATATTATAATTTTTCTTAATAAAACATTATGTTAATGTTTAGATGTAGTTCACATAAATATATTACATCGCATTCGAACCATTTATTGTGTACTATATAATTGCATACATAAAGTTTATATGATAAACGTACTGATGTGTTCTCTACTTTGATTTTTATGTGTGAACATTCAGCAGTGCATCTATTAATACTATTCTTTCGATCTTATCATTCTTCGTTCATTTCTCTTTTTATTTTTGTTTTTCTTCTGTTGTCCTATTCGAATTTTTCTTTCTCTTTCTTTTGTAGAAGCTTGTCTTATCTATAATGGTATGAAGTAGTCAAAAAAAAATATTATTACTAGGCATGGTCGTATAGCTATTTGTTGAGTTTATCGTTACACTATCTACATACTCTCAAATTACATATTACACATAGAGTATGATTTAGTTATTCTCTTTGCGTTGTTCTAAACAGATCGTTTACTGAAATGTTTGTTGGCGGTTTTCATGAGCTTAGGAGAGCACAAAGAGTTTACAAAAATACATTTGTTTTTAGATAATACTATACTCTTTCCTTCTCATGATGGCATCTATTGTTGATTCTCATATTTTCAAAGATATTTTCGGTAATGCTACGATGCGTAGTAAGTACAGATATAATTAGTACTTAATACTTTTCTACCCATCTTTATCTTTTTCTCAACTAGGTCGTTGGACTGATGAGGCACGCACTGCATATTATTTGAAGTGGGAAGTTGCACTAGCTACAGTTCAAGCTAAACTCAAGATTATTCCTCAAGAAGCTTGTGATGAGATTATCGCCAAAGCTAAGGTTGAAAACATTGATTTTGATAAGCTCAAAGAGAAGACTGAATTAATTGGATATCCTGTATTAGGTGTTGTACAACAGATCGTTTCTATTTGTCGTGATGGTCTTGGTGAATGGTGTCATTGGGGTGCTACTACTCAAGATGTCACTGACAGTGCTACTGTTATGGCTATACGCGATTCTCTTGATATCATCGAAGCTGATCTGGATCATATTATGAGTAGTGTAGCCAAGTTAGCTGAAGATCATCGATTAACTCCTAGTAAGTCTTTTTCCCATACTGTATTGTATTCTATTCTATGTATCATTAATCATGATTTTATTAGTGGCTGGTCGTAGCAATTTACAACAAGCTGTACCAATTAGTTTTGGCTTTAAGATGGCACGTCTCTTAGCCACTTTTCAACGTCATAAGGAGCGTATAGAAGAGATTCGTAAGCGTGTTCTAACTTTGGAATTTGGAGGAGCAGCTGGCACTCTTGCTACGTTGAATGCTGACATAGCATTGAAGTGCCAAGAAGAACTAGCACGGGAATTAGATTTAGTTCAACCGGAGATTGCATGGCATACGGAGCGCGATCGTTTTGCTGAAGTGGGTGCATTTCTTGGTATTCTATGTGGCACTTTATCTAAAAATGCAACGGATATTAAAGTAAGAAAAGAAAAAGAATCAACTTTCTTTTCAATATACAAACACACATATAATTATTTTATAATTTTGATTTAGTTAATGATGCAAACTGAGATTGACGAAGTCTCTGAGCCATACGTTCCTCATCGTGGATCCAGTTCTACTATGCCAAACAAGTTTAATCCGATTAGTTGTGTATATATTCATGCACTCGCTGCTACTGTTCGTCAACATTCAGCTGCTCTTATGGATGCTATGTTATGCGACCATGAGCGTGCTACTGGTCCTTGGGAAATAGGTAAAATTCATAGATTTTGTTTTTGTAGTGAATCTTCTATTAGAAGCAAAAGAGGGGCTATGTGAATCTATTCAAGATCCCCTATACAGACATTTCAACTTGTTTTCCTTTTATTTTAGAATGGATTGTTCTACCAGAAGCTTTCATTCTTACAGCTGGTGCATTAAGTCAAACAAAATCAATGATGGCTGGTCTACAGGTTCATCCGAAAAATATGATGCGCAATTTAAACCTAACAAAGGGTCTTATTGTATCTGAAGCTGTTATGATGAGTCTTGGTCCGAAATTAGGTCGTCAATCTGCACATGATCTTGTTTATACTCATTGTCGTCGTGCACTTGATGAGGATCGTATGTTGATTGATCTACTCAAAGAAGACAAAGATATCTCAGCAGTTTTATCTAATACTGAACTCGAACATCTCTGCGATCCTGCAAATTATCTTGGTCTAAGCGGATCTATGGTTGATAACGTTCTTACTTCCTACAAAAAGACTGTAAACAAAACTAAAAATTCCAAAGATACCACCAGTCACTAACAATATTTCTCGAAATGATTATATGATTTTCTTTCTATTGTTCATTGCTATGTATGACTACCATACAAAGATTCTTCCATGTATTAAGTCATACTTTAGATTCTAAAATATAAACAACATTGAAATAATAAATAACAATTAACTATTTTAAGACAAGCTAGATACTAATTTATAATTCACATACACACATTCTATTGACACAAAATACAATGTTTAACTTTATGAAATTGGTATAGAATCCAAAAACGAATGGAATATAAGAACTAAAAGTAGCTATACATATGTTAAAAAAGCCTTGAGTTAAATCGATCAAAAGTTCATTTTTTTTCCCTGATATTTCTGTATCACCAATCAATGCTAATATCGATACATGTTATATTGAACAATCTAATAAACAACAATTGATTATTGCATGTCGAAATGCATTAATAAAACTGAATGAAGGTGGGCATTGTGTATGTAAAATTATAGATATTTATTTTCTTTATCATTCATTTACTTTTAATTCAGCAGGTCATAGAAGATTTTTAGTATATCGTGAATAAAATAGAGAATATTTTAGAAGTAATACCATTGAAATGTGTGTTTGAACCATATATATTAAATATAACATAAAGACCATGATCTAAAAATTTCTTATACTTTTCTCTTTATTTTACTTTTTTTATAGATTGATTTTGTAATACAATATGAAGACTGGAAAGAAGCACATGAAATACTCAATGTTAAACGTCGACCTAAATCATTAGAGTAGACAGGGGGAATTATGAACAGATTTTTTTTTGACTTTAAAGTTTAATAACTTTTTTATTTTTTAATATTTTTAAAAACAAAAAATGATGAGATGTAGCCTGAAGTATTCTCTACACATCTGTCTAAAAATCTTTGAAAAATACCTTTGGGAACAAGTGAAGCACCTGTTTTACTAGAAGCACCATTCATTTGTTCATGATAGTCCCGTCCGAGGCTGTTATGAACATTGGCTGTAGTAGGTGGGGCAATTATGAACATTTAAGCAAATAGCTGGGAAAAATTGAGCATCACTCCGAATCACTTTTCTTAATAATTAATTAAGATTAATTAGTAATTTTTCGATCAGTAGATAGAGCATCTCTCACAATACAATCGGTAACGCTTACTCATCTACATCTTTTTTTTTGACTTACTAGTAGTTAAACTACTACTATTCAAAGCAGCTATTATGAACATTGGCTTTAGTGAGTGGGGCTATTCTGAACGCTACTATAAAATGATAGTAATATTTGACTTCTTACTATTAATCACTTTTAAACGAAACAGAATATCGGATTAAAAAACTTCTGCTAGAAAAGTTGTAGCTAGTTCAAATCTGAACAATCCTAAACGAAACTTCACATTACAAGGATAAGGAATAATAAAATTAATAAGTAAACACGAGATTGTACTTATTGATCAATACTTTTCTCTTAACTTAGTTCGAAATTTATCAGTTGATTACCTCATAGAAAAATGAAATTCATCGTGAATATCTTAGTTCTTTACCGTTGCAATGATATTTCAAGATTTTTCATTGGTTCATTTATCGAAATGAATTAAAAAATATATGTCTAAACAAAAGATTCGAAGCAACACAACAGTAAATATATTTGTCAAAATCAAATTTGCATTAGTCCTTGATATAATACTATGATCAGATGATCACTGGTACAACAGACTGTTTTATTCAGAGAAATGGTGGGTAATTATAGAAGGGATGAATAATGAAAATATATCCAGGGAAGAAGTCGAGAATCTTCTTCTCGAGTAATGCGCTATAGATTAAAATAAAATCGGTCATGAACATAAGAAAGAGAACAAAGAACAGCTGATAAAGGATATATATACAGAAAAGAAAGAAAAGAATATACAAAGAAAATAGAGATTAACTAATATATATATATATATATATATATATAACGAGGGTCATATGTAACAAACTCGAAACACACATTCTGATTTATTGTAAGTTGTAATATATTCTCAATGGTTCGAACTTATAAAAGAAAAAACAATGACCCAACATCCCAGGACGATGGTTCCTGAAGCAGGATTCCATGAATTTCTGGAATGCCACGAAATCGGCCATTTCCGTGACGGATTGTTTGACCTGGCTTCCTCAATATGTCATGTATTGTTTATCATAATAAAGATTATTATCGTGATAAAATTCTTTCATGCAATAATAATTGATATGCAGTTAAGCGTATAGATTATAAAATATATCTTACAAGATACAAATATTAATGATTTATATAGTATTCCTGAAGATCAAATATTTCGTACAGCACCACTAGCAAGAGAACGTCGCTTATATGATGTTTGTGATAGCGATAGTAATCAAGAAAAAGCAATCCATTTTAAATTTCGTATTAATAAAATTGATCTGATGGATCAGCGCTGAATAAAATTGAAAGTGCAAGCGAAAGTGCATCTCGATCTGAAGTACTAGTAGCAAATCTGCTCGAAAAACAAACACGATTACAAGAAGAAAATGTTAACAGTGAGTGAGAATCTTTAAATGTTTTCAAGAATAATATGAACACTCGTCAATAAAATCTTGATGTTGTTCACTGTGTATCTATTATTTGTTATGATTTATTAAAAACTTGTTTATTTTTGTTTACTTCTTGATAGTCATGATTTTTCTCATAAGTTATAATAAAAATTCTGTATTTATCTATATTATAATAGACAAACTTTCAGTTCAGGAACTTTAATCTGATTGGTTACAGAATGGAAAGAAAAATATATACATATACATATACATATATGACTAGCTGACAATGAGCATCTATGTCCATTGTTTTATTATCCTTTGTTATTATTATCAGCCTATATGGACGTCCATCATGTTCATTCATTCTTCTTCGTATATATATTTCAGTTATATAAGTAATATCATATCACATTCTCTTTTTTCACTTTTAAATCAACACAAACAATCGTAATCTATTTTTCAATCTAATTTGTTTTTTGTTTTCTTCAATAGAGCAAGCTGCGTCGTCTTCATTTAAATCATAAATATCGTGTGGAAGGTATCGAATCATCAGTGATAAACAAGAAGGCGCAAATTGATTACACAAAATTAAAACTTGCTGGTTGCACACCGGCAATTGAAGAAATCGTAAGAAAAGTTTTTAGACCACGAAAATTTTCTGCCGACTTGTGTAGAGAAATAGGTAAATTTCATCTATTTGATAATCACATCATTTCCAATTTTTTTTATAGGAATGCAATATGTTCGTGGTGTTATTTTACATGGACCACCTGGTACAGGCGAAACAAGCACTATACTGTATGTTTTCTAAATTAGCTTTTATCTAGTCAATATTTCTAAATTTATTTTATAGTGCATTGTGCGAGTATTTTGGTCTTGAACAAAAAGTAATTAATGGTCCAGAATTAATAGATTCATTAGTTGGCAATTCAGAACGAGCATTGCGAGAGCTCTTTAAAGAAGCCCAGGACGATGGTTCCTGAAGCAGGATTCCATGAATTTCCGGCAAAATCCCTGAGGAAACTCGTCATTTCTGGGCGTAACCCGCCCGGAAAATGCTAGGAATCCGATGAAAAAGTGAGGTAACCGTATCCGGCTGCCGGCTTTGATATGTTCCTGTCGGTTTCGGCATAAATTAGATAAATTCGGTCACCGGATCCGTTCAACGGGAATACTGCTTCCATGAAATCTCCGGAATACCATGGAACCGGCCGTGGTCGTTTTGATTTCCAAATGAAAACTGGTTGGTTTCCACTAATTATAGTAGTTAGATTATAGATAAAAATAAAATGTTTTTTTTTCAGACTTACCCAGCACACGAAAGACTGGAAATTATGAATTCTTATCTTTGTGGTATTACAAAATATGGTTATGTATCGTCAAACTGAAAAAATATATACGTTTTTTTGTTGAAAAACTGTATGTTTCTTCTTTTTTTCTTAAGAATAAAAGCTGTGTGTGAACACATACAAGAATTAGCTAATCAATTTTTATATTTTATGAAAAATTCACCACCATAATAAATATATACTCAAAAAGTTCCACAGTCATCACACGCTACTTGTATGAAAGATAATTTAAATCAAAGTTTTTACATTTAGATAATGAATTAATTAATACATTTATTAAAGAATGACGAACAAAATTTTATTTTATTACAAAAAGCTTTATTACGTACAGCTGAACAAATTTGTCAAAAGGCTAAACTATTATTTCAAACAACTATTGGTAATTATCGGATTATTTCTACTTCTGATCATTTATAAGAAAAAAGATTTTTGATTAAATTATTCAATTAACATTTTATTTCTTTTGTTCTCTAATTGTTAATGAAGTTGAGAGCATTTGTAAGAGTCAAACTAGTACTCTCATTGCTAAACTAACAAATTTAAAATTTTACGTCTCTATAGCAAGTCTAAGTCGTTCTTTATATTAAAAAATATAAACAAATTCTTTTTTTCAATAGTTTTTATTAACAATATTGAATGATATAAAAGTATTTTTAAACACAACATTGAAACAACGAATAACAATTAACCATTTTAAGACAAGTTAGATACTAATTTATAATTCACATTCATACACACACACACACATTCTATTGACACAGAATATAATGTTTAACTTCATGACGAAATTGCTTGGACATTATGAAATTGGTATAGAATCCAAAACAGAATGGAATATAAGAACTAAAAGTAGCTATAGATGTTAAAAAGCCTAGAATTTGAACAGAAATCAAATTGTATGATTTATATTGAGCAAACTGTTGGTACATGAAAACGGCTGATATCATTAAACTAAAAATAATATATACTATAATATCAATAAATAAAATTTGGATAAATTGTCGATCTTTTGAATGTTTTAAATATAAACCACCGATAGTTTTTCTTCTAGTAATTATTAAAACAGGACGAGGATCAATACGACCAATACTTCGAATATTTTTCACAGTCCACAATCCGAAAATAATCATCAATAGAGGAATAAAAATTCCTTTAATGATCAAAGAATAATAACCTATAAATACTAGATAGATTCCAGGTTGAAAATAACATCGAAAAAAATTTGGTAATGGTTCGATAATATTTGTTAAAACTAATGCATGACTATGAAATAACAACCAAAGTAATGTTACAATCATAATACATATATAAGCCAGACGATGAGTACTTTTCGATCTCATTATAGCATATCGTGAAGTAACTAAGATTCGATCAATAGAAGCTAATATTAAATAAGATGGACTTAAAACACCGAATATAAGCATTGTATAAAAATGAAGACGACAAATAATTAAATTATACAAACTAGAATTCATATTATAACCATTTATTAATATAAGGGAAAATAATGATGTATAAATTAGAAATAAATTACCAATATTAAATGCTATTAAATAAATTGAACAGGGATTTTTACGTAAATTCTTTTGAAGAAAAATTATTAAACTGAGTATAGAACTCACAGTACCGAAAATCATTAAAATAGGTCCACCAAATCTATATAATTGTTTTTGTACTAATACCAATGGTATAGTAGAATTAGATTGTGATGACATTGTTATTAATTGATCTAAAGGAAAAAAAGATATTATCAAGATTCATTATAAAATGAAAATAATGCCTACAATACAACATGTCTAATACGAAAATATGAAAAAAACCACTTTATCATTTGTGTACGACGCAAAAGAAAACTTCATTTAATGGTAAGATTACAAACAATCTCATCATTATCCTCGTAGAATATCTCTCAAACTGTAATTATATATTTTAATTCAACAGTCATAGACAGTCCAATTAAAATATAATCTCTATTTAAAAATAGTAATTCCAATACATGTATTATTTTGTACTCAATAAATATATGACCTTGATTGTTTTTTTTGCACTATATATACTAATAATTCTGTAGAGATATTTGTTTTTCAAAATCTATTTTATCTTAAATCTTATTTTTCCTTCAACAAGTAATTCCATCATCAAAAAGAAAGAACAACAACATTTGAAATAACATACAATAGAATTGAAGAAGTTTTAGATCCAATGTCTTTTCTTACAATACCGGTAGAACTTGTCTATCGAATTCTTGATCAACAAAATGGTTTTACTATTCTATGTTCAATGAGAAATGTTTGTCAACGATTAAATAAAATTATTGATAGTTACTATTTATAATTTATAATCTAATAAAATATGAGCGAAGAAATGACTTATTAAATTATTTTTCTTTTTATAAATGTTTTATTGAAATTACATATATTATTTCTTCATCAGCCCACGTGTAATGTATAGATAAGAAGAAAAAAATAAAAGAATATTTTTATGGGAGAGTTTAATAATTGTTAAATTAATTTATTCTTTAATGAAATAAAGTTTAAAATTCTACTATAAATAAGAATTTAGAATGAACAAATTGAGATAGAATCTATCATAGACACTCATCTCAGTTAATCTACAATCCAATAAAATTGGAACTGTGAAAGTACAATGTCTAGCTGATGCCTTAGTCTCTTTCCATCTATCTCATATTGACACCCGTAATATTTTATACAGACAGTCATCACATTAAATCTTAGACTTACTCAAACTGGAGATGTTGGAGCAAAACATTTAGCTGATACATTACGAAAGAATACAGTGATCTTCAATCTTTTTTTCATGTAGATTACGTCTTCATCTACATCTTCTTTACATAGACACTGACCAAATTATATCTCGAAAAGAATGAAATTGAATATGTTGGAATACAATATTTGGCTACTGCATTACAATATAATATGGTAAATTTCATACACTCTCTATCTATATCATGTGTTCATATGCAGTCTTTCTCCTAGGCACTCATTTCACTAAGTCTCAACGGGACTGAAATTGAAAATATCGGAGCTCAACATCTGGCTGATTCATTAAGAATTAATACAGTATTGCTTACTCTCTTTCCATGTGTGTTATATCTTTATCTGCATTTTTTTCACATAGACACTTATTGAACTATTTCTCGAACAGAATCAAATAGGAGATATTGGAGCACATCATCTGGCTGATGCATTACAAAATAATATGGTAATTTTCACTTTCTCAATCTTTTTTCTATCTTCATTAATACTTTTTTAGATAGACACTTATCATCTTAGAACTCGCACAAAATAAAATAAACCACAAACTTGAAGATATAATAATAAAACTGATTGATCGGAATCAAAAACTATGATAAAGATATTCTGTTTGCATATGAACAATAATTGATTAGTGTGCAAATAACTGTTTGATTGTAATCATATCTTATATTACTAATAAAAATATTGTTTTATATTTAATAATTGTATTAATTCATATTAATCAGAAGATATTTTTAAAAAGAATAATCGTTAATAAAAAAATACAGTTACTCTTTTGCGAGTTCTTTTACTTGAAGTAAATCATGTATGAGACCGCTTTCAATGACTCATTGATAATGTCCGCAGCAAACCCGTTCTCCAGTTGCACACAGCACCAAAACAGATTTTACAAAATATTATTTATTCAGTATGAAAATTCTTTAAATACTTTTCAAAGATATGTTAACATTTACTATTTTTATTCTTCATGTTTTCATAGAGATAAAAAACTAAAAGCAAATTGCTTTGAGTAATAACAATCTGTAAATCTTTATTTTTATTTGCTGATATAGATATATCTATACTACTTTTATTATCATGAATAGAAACGAAAAATTAAAGATTACGAATGTTTTATTTTATTTATCTCATAAAAGATTTTTTTTTATTTTTCTATTATACGTGTAAGTAAAGACTTTCTACATGAAAAGTAATATGATTTTTATAAGAATACTACTAACGTTATTTTTATTGATGTTTCGAATAATAAATGCAGAAACAATAGAAGGTAAATCAATTTTCTATCTCATATAAGATTCAATGATAAACTCATATATTCTTTTGATTTCAGGTAATCATATAACAGAATGTATCTATGCATTTACGGATCCCTTTTATCCATCATTTACCTTACCTCCACCTCAACCTAATAGTCCAGGTGATGTTCAACTTAATAAAAATAATCCAATTCGTTTTGCTAATGGATCAAATTTAGCTGCTGGTCAAGGATGCAATAGTCGTGGATTTTCTTACTATGAACCGAGTCAAGAGGGATTTCTAACTACATATATCGACTCGAATGAACAAAACACATCAATTACAGATATTATATATGCTACTAAACATGATCAGTTATTTGCACGTACTATTCAATCAAATCATGCTTATTTGGGTTAGTATAATTATTGAAATAAATGTATATATACTTAATATTATATAGCCTCATATCTTGCTGGAAAAGTACTCAAAATTGAATTAGATTGTAACAATGGTCTTCTTGGTTGTGCATATTTCACAGTTGGAGGTGAATCATCCAGTTCATTACCAAGTCAGTACAAACTTTGAATCTTTTTCTCTTATTGAAATCATATTTCATTCAAGTAATAGTAACAAATGGAACACCAAAAACACAAACTACATTGACATTTATGAGTAGGTTAATAAACCAAACTAAAACTTATAATAAAAATATTTATTGTTTATGTTCTTTTTAGTGCTTTTTGTTAGTGTTGTATCTTTTACAAATGTATTTATTCAATGATCGGAACAGTTTTTCTTAAATTATGATATATAATTAATTTGATAAACAATAAATGAAATATCCACGAGAAAAAATATCTGTTCATTAGTTTGAACAATTTTCAATGGAGCATTTTCTTTTCTGGTTCACTAAATCAAGATAAAAAGATCATACTTCAACTATTTCATTACTGATAACTAGGATGGGTTCTGGGTGTGAGTGTCAGTGGCGTACGCAGAAACCTTTTAAGGGGTGGGCCTATTTCTATAGAAACTGGAACTTGTTGGAAAAGAATTTTGATCTAATTTTTCACTAAAGTTGTTAGTATTTATTCATCAACTTCTATTATTAAGCTCAGCTGTAAAAAAAAAGAAACTACTGTAAGACCAAGTTCATCAACAAGATTCTAGGAATGGGCCCAGGCCCATTCGGCCCACCCCCTGCGTACGCCACTGGTGGGTGTGCTTGATCAGATCTATCTTATATCCACACCCTCAAGATTTAGTAGCTTATAATTTTTTTTATTAAGATTTTATTGATTAAAATAATTCAAAATATAGTTTCTTGTTTTGGTTCATGAATATTGAATTTATTACCTTCGTAGCAAGAAAACACCGTTTGAGTTAATTGATAATTTATCTGATTGTTTTTTATGGAAAAGAATGTCTATTATCTTTGTTTGATTGACTATACAAATAAGAAATTCTTTTAAAGGTGTGTATTTTCTTCGTCTTTTGATTGAAAACATGGAAGTCGAGATAATTTTCTTTGAACAATCGATATATAACAATGTGGATAAAGTGGAAAAAAATTATTTTCATCTTCCATATTACTTAATGGACCATTTGTTGATGATGCTGTTTGAAAAATACATAATACTATAAATGATACAATATAAAATATTAGGTATGTTATATAATAATCATCATATATATATATATAAGTATCATATAAAACCCAAAAACCACGCCAAGTAAATAGACAAGAAAAAAATGCTAATAAATGACGAATATTTCGATAAAATTGTGGAAAATTTATTGAAACAAATGTCCAAAATTCAAATTTTAAATTTAATTCTTCTAAATAGTTTTGAAAATACATCAATGGAAAATAAAGTATATAACCCATAATTAAACAAAGACCAGCTGATAATGTTAAATTATCTGGATAAAAATGATCATCAAGAATATGATAAAAACCTCTCCATATCATTATTGATAAATTTGAAATAATTATTTCATATAATATATAATTAATAACATTTATTTTCCATATTTTCATCTTTAAAAAGAAAAAGAAAAATTTATTTGAAATAAAATAGAAGAAAATAATTTACATTTCGTGTCAGAAGTGGACAACCAAAATAAATACAATATTCAATTGAATCATAACTAAAAAGAAATGGTGAACAAACTAAATCCGATAAATGTCCAATAAAAACAATTAATGCAAATATTGCTGCTATTGATAATGTTACTTCAAAATATGTTTCATGTGGCGTAAATTGATCCCATAGAGTCCATAACATTTCCCATTGAACAATATAAAGTGATGCTAATAGAAATATATGAAATTTTAATAGAATCGTTTTTATAAACCAATGTTTTTCTTTTAAAAATTCATGAAAAAAATCTTGACCAAGATAATAACATAAAAGTATAATTTCTGTTATTAAATATGGAATAAATAATGAAAGAAATGTATAGGATTCAAAATCTTCTTGAGTAATTTCATCTAAATGTAAATTTGATGGAAATCCATTTAAACGATTTAAAAGTATTAAAATTAAATTCCAACCACATTCCCAAAATAAAACAAGTATTGGAAATATGAATATACCACTTAGAATAGGTTCAATAATAAATAAAAATTTTCGATGAAATTTATTTAATTTTTCTTGTTTATGTACTTCACTTGAAGTAAAAGATTCATCAAGAGCATTAAATTTTTGTGATATTGTTGATAATCGACGTGAAGGGAATACGTTATTGTCATCGTCTGTAGATCTTACTAAAATTGATTGTGGAGCTTCAGGACCTGAAGGTGGTACATGTTGTTGTGGATGATATTCATCTCCATGTGGTAAAACTATTTGTGAAATAGTTGATAATCTTCGTTGAAGACTAGCACAAGTACTTAAACGACGAGCATTTTCAATTTCTTCTTGTTCGTGAAGGAAGACGGGTAATGTTGTTGATTTTCTTCGACCACTAGATATTTGTCGTCGTACATAGTTTCGACTCATTTGAAATTGTCGTATAATTCTCTTCAATTTTTTATAATAGTATACTTATGATGATAGAGATTATAACTCCTTCTTTTTATGATCTCATTTCTTTCAATGTGGCTTCTCGAGAAAAAAAAAAGAAAAATATAATCTTTTACGTCGATAGACATACTCATTTTATCTAAAACTATAGAATGAAATAAAACATAATTATCAATTCATATAAGCAATATATTTTAATGTAATTATTGTTGAGTCATTACTTAAATTTTATCCTTGTTGTAATAGTACAATAATGCATAGTTGAGTGTTTTATTACTTTCATCAAATATTATTTTATTACAATCAACTTGTACTTTTTTCAGTTTTTGGGTTAATCATATTACTAACGCTTCTCTGAATGTGCAGAAGAAATACGATAGTATACTTCGACGATACATATCTATTTTATTTTATAAAATTCTATAGATCTTGTTAATAGAGAAAAAATTAAAATAGATCATATTTCGAATACTTGCAGCCATTAAATCATACAACATAACAAATAAATATATAAACTGATTTAGTTAATTTTCTTCAGGATAAATTCTTACAAATAACTTCCCACGCATGACTAATATTATAAACATTAGTGCAGATGAAAAACAAATCGTTACATATTCGATTATCCGCATGAAACTTGTCTAACAATATTCTTTCTTTCGTTGAATTCATATTAATATTATATCATTTTTCTGTGAATATCAGGAAAATGCTGTTGCTATTATCTATTATAATTAATTATTTCAAATTTTCATATGTTTTATATAAATGATTAATTATTGATTATTCGCAATAGTTTTACTTGGATATGTTTGTTTAGTATTAATCAATTAATATTTCATGTAAAACATGTTGTAAAAATTAAGAAAATGAAATATCTAAATAAGTCTGAACTAATTCGAACTTCAATTTTAATCTTTTAGTCAGTATTTATCTTGAATGATGTTTAGGTTATCTGATTAAATATGTACAATCGACAAGAAATATGCGTTAATCATCTAAAATAGAAAAAATACTGTAAATGATATCAGTCTAGATTTGAATTACCTAGTACCAATTATATCTATTTCATCTTTGTCTATCGTTTTGTGTTTATATCTTAATTACTATCGCATTACACAAGCGATTGACACATAAATTAAAATGGAACAATGCTTGTGACATTTTCTTTACATTACACTGGACTTTATTTATTAGTTTGTTTGCTCAGAAGAAACAACGAAAAATAACCCATTCAGAGAGACAATCATAGCAAAACAAAGGTATTTGATAGAATAACGAAATGATTAATATGTCATTGAGGAACATCTCTCATATTTCGTGCAGTTTTTTATGTATTGTTCAATGATTGTTTCTTAAATTTCTGAAATAATTTGAGTATTAAATATTATATAATAGTAATTCTTGAATACTTCTGCTACTGTTGCTTAAAAATTTATATGAGTAAAGAAGATATTAACTCGTATCGATTAACTTCATCTCACATCGTTTATTTGCATTTACCATTTTCAAATAATCCATTCTGATGATTTTATAATTTCAGAAATCGTTACGACATGCCGATCGACGATGCGCTAGCATATGAGAATATTAACAGATGTTTTACAAGGACAAATATTCATTTGTTTCTCTTACAAAAATCAGTTCATTATTTTATATATCAAAGAAAAATGATATAACCTGAGCTTCTACTCAGTATATTTATATAGAATTTTATTGTTGATTATTTAGTTAGCTGAATATATTAGAACAGCATTAGAAATAAACATAATAAATTCAGTATTTAGCCTGTCTGTCTTTGAAGACAAGCATCATCGACATAACATCGACACTCACCAGGAGTTTCACTCATGCGTTCACATATCCCCGCACAACCCAAACAGGTGGGTCTCATTAAAGTTTTAACTACTTTCCATAGTAATCGCAAACTTATACGTCCTTGTATTGGAGGTTTTTCAGTTCCATCATTTTCTTCACCTACAAAAATTAACAGTACTGATTATATTACGATAAAACAAAATTGAATGATACCTGTAGTAAAATTTATCAGTGTTAAGCCAATAATCACTACGACCAGAACAAAAACTGTCGATGAAAAACGCATTTATTATCAATCGAATTATAATATTTTAATGAATGTAGATGTGATTCTCATCTATGATTTTATATATTTGACAAAAAGGAAGTAGTTTTTTATTTATTCGCATAATTATTCAAGGGTAAGTAAATAAATTATATTTATTAAAAATAATATTTGATAAGCTTTTCTCTTTTCAAGAGCAATAATAGAAATAGAATAATTTAAATGTAAATAAGCAGTTTATTGAATGATTTAATGAAGTAGAAGAATTCATCTTAACCAAAAAATCTTACTTATTTAACTTACCATCAACTATAATTTATTTTTATATATTATTTTCTAATTTAAATAAAGCAAGCACTGAAAAACGATCGAAAAAAATAATTTCTAGATCGAATATCAATGACAGATATAAATTGAGGTTGTAAATATTTGCTTCCAGTCATTGAATACTGATATAAAATCCAGTCAACATGAAATCGATGTGACAATCATAATGATAGCATTTCAGAGATATTGATCAGTCGACATACATACGGATGATGTATGAGCTTTACTTTCTGTCCAAGTAATAAAATTACATCTGGTGAATATTGTTTTTGCCGTTGGTTGATTATTAAACGAAGGATTTTGCTTGTTGGTGTTGTGCTTTTTCACTTTTAATGTCTAAATGAGTATTAAAAACAAGAATATTTGTCAAATTATCATCAGTTATTAATTTAAATCGTGCTCCATTACTATCTCAATCTCTACTTCCAATAGTTCGTGGTAATTTTGATAGTCAGATATAATCATCTTCTACTAATTTTAACACTTGATTATAGTATAAAATCCACATGAGATTATAAATGTTCAATTTATATTTTTCTTAGTACCATCACGTTGATAACCAATATGTTAATAATATTTTGGTAGATAAGATTACCTATGTAATAATTGTTCATCAAATGACTCTTGTACGTTTAAAATAATTGGCTGTCATTTTTCAATAGTTTCAGTTAAACGACAAGTTCTCTTTGATAGATACCATATTTTTCTAGCATATTGAAATCATCTTGTTCGATGTAACGAGAAAAAGTTTATAACAATGCAATTGATACAGAAATTAATGTTGAAAATAAAATAAATAGATTATATCGCGTGATAAAAAGTATTCTACTTTTATTTATTATTATGAGATGAAATATTATCATCGTAGATTAAATGATCTAAAAACCATTGATTTATCTACTTGCGTGTTGTATTTACATAGTAAAATACATGAATATATGAATTTATCATAAAATCACATTGTGAACCTCTACGATGTGCTATGATAGAACGAAATAGTAACATTTAATAATAGTATCGAAGATACTTTGCAATAGCAATTGATCTAATCACTAACAACGAGCTGAATTTTTTTACAAAATAAGTACCAACCCTTCACGTGAACCAAATATTTAATCTCAGATATAGTTTGTATTAGTATCTCACGAAATGAAAAGTAAAGATCTTCGAGATATTGCATTTTGTTATTTGATTGACGATGATTATACTTGCGTTAAATATCGAGCGTTTCATAAAAAGAACCAAAATTCAAACAATAAAATATAAGTAAGAAAGAAAATAATCGATTCTTTATGAATCATATATAGAGTTTTATTTATTTTACATTCATCTATTATTTCTAATTCTATAAAAAAAAAAGTAAACTAATATGAGAAAAAATTTATTCGCTACGTTTTCTAATAAATTCAATTAGATCAATTTCATCTGGGGTGTTATTAACACAGTAATCAAAAATTGTCATACCCATATCATTCATAATATTAACCTTGGCACCTTTTTCTATTAATAATTTGATAGTTTCTACACGAATTGGATATCCTACAGCACAATGTAATGGAGGTTGTCCAAAATGATCCAATGCATTAATATCTGCTCCATGTTCAAGTAATAACGAAATAATACTATTTAATCCATAGAAGGCTGCCCAATGAAGTGGTGTCTTTTCTATAGAATCTCGTACATGTACGTTACTTCCTGCTTTAATCAAATACTCAGCAACATCTTGTTTTTCCATGATAACTGCACCAAGTAATGGTGTGTGTACACTTGAATTGACAGTATCATTTATTGCATGATTTTCAATTAAATATTGGATAATATCGAGATGACCGTTTGTTGCTGCACAATGTAATGGTGTATTGTTTTTTGCAGCTTCTGATACTACCTTTGCATTTATATTAGCTTTAAATTGAATTAACAATTGAACTACTGATAAATGACCAGCAAGTGATGCTTCATGTATTGGAGCCAAAAGTTCATCTGATAATCCATTTACACTTACTTCTGTTGTCTCTAATAAATTCTGAACAAGTTCAACATTTCCATCTTCAGCTGCCTTACATAAATTTTTGGTGAGTTGAACATTTTCTGTTAATATGTCAAGGATTTGTTTATCATCAGCACGATTAGCCACAGTTATAGGTGTCGCTTTTTCTGATGAATTATTTGGAAGAAGTGGACAAGCTCCATAATGTAATAATAGTTTAATACATTCAATATTTTTTGTTTGACCAATTGCATAATGTAACGCTGTATCACCATCTTCATCTTGTTGATTAACATTGATTCCAGCTTCGAGTAATAACTTCACGATGTCGATAAAATCAAAATATACAGCACAATGTATTGCACCTTGAGGTACCACTGGATAATTTAAATCACCACCACATTTTATATATTGATCGACTAAATTTATGTTATTTTGTCTAACTGCTTCTATATATTTATTCCAATCATTTTTTTCAATAGTCTCATCAGAATCTTGAGATGGCATTGGCGAAGATATATACTACGATCTACAAGTAAAATATTTGTATAAATTGTCGTTTTATATCGAAAAAAAAGTAAAAAATCCTTTGTTAAATAAGATGTCTCTAATCTTTATCAAAAAATGTTCCTCTTACTTTTACCACACTTGTTGTTATAACAAGAAGAAAAAAGGTAATGAAAGCATGTGGTTGACGACTGTGTTATGAAATGTGCGTTTGAATCATAACGCACATGAAAGTTACGTTTTTTTTTCTTTTCTATACTCATACAATATGTATATTCGATAGCTAAAGTGAATATTTACATTAGAACTAAAGTATGAGAACAATTATTTATTCATTTCAACATTTAAATACATAAGTGCACCTAAGAACACAGGATTATTTTATTGTAATATTCATTCAATGATTTGTATCAAATAGAGAATCAAAAAATGTCATTGATCACATACTTTTTGAATATTTAATTAAATTTTTTTTCACATATTAAATATAATCTTAAGCCGTCGATTTTTGATAATTCTTTTTTTTTCTTAATATTCGTATTGTCTCAATAGTATTCTTTTCCTTTTCGAGTAAACACAGATTGAATAATATACAAAGATAGACGATGAGTTATTGGTTTATTTTACTGAATTTAAAAAAATCGAAGAAATAAAAATCATGCGAAAATTTTATTAAACAGTTTGTTTGAGTTGTTCCATTTTATTTTCTGCTGGAACTTGACAAATAACTGCTAATTGACTAATAATCATGCTCAGATAAAGATTGCCTTCTAGTTTATCTATAATCTCATTGCATTTGTTGGCCAGCTTGAGACATATATCTCGTGTATATTCGATTGAACCAAACTCATGTAACAGTTTAATGGCTTCTCGTTTAAAATCAATATTGTCTGTATGCTGTTTGAGAATGCCACTGAGTCGAGAATCATCTGGACGAGCATTAAGAGCGTGAATAATTGGAAATGAAAATTTGCCTTCACTCAAGTCTTCACAGTACGACTTGTTTTGTGTATATTCTTCTGAAACTAAATTGCAGTAATCATCACGAATTTGAAAGAGGAATGTGAGAGCTTGACATAAATCATCAATTAACTTGTTTTTCTTGATATCAGATTGCATTGGCGAAAAGAGTCGTAAAAGTTCTATAGCCAAATGAAAGAGTCCTCCAGATTTACCAGTAATCATTTGGCAATACTCGTCTTCTGATGGACAAATATGATTATCGCGCCACCAAATATCAAGGCCTTGACCCTTGTGCAACTCAATCATATGATCTGAAAAACAATTTATTCTAACATATAGAATGGAAAATAAAACACTTACCAACTAGAATGGATCCTACACGCGGATGATCAAGTTTAAATGCTGTTTGTATAGCGAGAAAACAGACAAGTTCTGCTGTATTGATTGTTAACGGGATTCCATATATTGTATGAGCAGCTGCGACACCTCGTCTAATTGAAGATCCATCTTCAATATCATCAAGTAATAAACTTGCATTGTGAAGTTTATCGATAATGTCATCGATAATAATTAATTTTTCATCAGATGTTTTTAGCCAGTAATTGAAAGCATGAATTAGTTTTGTTCGAATATTTTTGCCAGGTAAAGATTTCAAGTAATCAAATGGTTGTAAAATTTTATCCTAAATAAAAAAAATAATCTTTTAAATATTTTGTTGGAAAATTATTAAAACCATGTATTTAGCATTTGATAAGCTGTTGAAAGTTGATTGATCTAGAATCAACAAATAACATAAAATAATGAAAAATTTCTTCAATTATAGATGTTGATTAATTGTAATTAAAATCTTCCAAACAAATATTTTTACAACATGAGATTTTTCTTCTTTCATTCACAATAAACTAATCGTTTAGTAGATTTCTATACTCTTTATAAATTACCTTGATGAATAGTCTGTTGAGAAGAAGCATCTTCACTTGGGTTGCCATTTGAATTTTTCTATAAAATTAGATAAATTTGTATTTACATTTAAAATCGATTTCTTTCTACCTCTTGTTTACATGTTGTTTCAATGAGATGTTCTTGCACAGGTGCTAGCAATGCAACACGTCTCGTTCTCTTGACTTCTTCTCTGTCTGTTCCAAAATATCTAGGCGTTTCGAAACTCCACACGGCATTTCCAATAATCATCTCAGCCATACCATTGACGAATTTTTCTACTTGATTATCAATTTTAGTACCCCATGATACTAATTCACTTCGAACACGCTGGAAATCAGCGTAACGATCGATAATCATCTGTCCAGCTCGATCTATCGCTTGTTGAATGGTCAGCGATGGATCAGCATGCATAAGTACTGAGATGAGATTGTAGTCACCTTTCGCTTGTTCAACATTAAATGAATAAATATCCTATTAGAAAAAAAAACAATCTAATAAAGAGTATAATTTAACAAATCTTTCGAGAAGAAATCGTTTTGAATTATGATTAATTCCTCACGTCTAGAAATAGTTCACTTTGAGCAAAATAGCTTACATTAGCCCATGCAGCAGCATCATTTGTATAATCGAGAAGGCGTCTGAATGTATCATTTTCCCAGCATTCGTCAAGTGAATCAAGTTCGAGACTGTACTCAATGAAGACAAATACTGGAGGTGCAAAGCCTGTATCTCGACGGAACTTAATGTATGTGTCTAAATCAGGAATAGTTCGACGATTCTTTTGATCAACATCTTGAAGAAGTATAGTTTCACTTGAAGTTCGATAGGCAGTGAGAAAACGCTCTCGACAACCAGGTGTAATATTGATGAGAATTCGCTGCCACCAATCATGAAGAGCAGCAGCGAACGGTGTTAATGGTTTGAATGAACCCGCTGGCTGCAAACATTCGATCATATTCTTGGATAATTCTTCTTTAGATCGATCACCATCTTCTGAAATATGAGCACTATCCAGAATATCGTCGATCAAGAAAAGTAATGTCCAGATATCACACGCTTCACGCAATTTAGCTGGACTACATTGTGGAATGGCTAATGCTGAAATAAGACAATAATTGTGTGTCGATTCTTTGTATGAAATACCATAAGAGTTAAGCCAAGCTTCTGTTGCACCTGATGCTGATTCGTATGCTGGATTGCGTTCAATTTTGAATGGACAAGTACTGATTAAATCAGGTAATAGAATGTAATTTTTATTCGTCATATCCATTGAAAAACAGAATTATTTCAATTATAATCTGAAAGTAGACTAATTGGAGCTCAATTGCACATAACAAAAGATATCAATGAAAATGAGTTTTACTAGAAAAAATAGATAAGAATAAATCAGAATAATTCGTACTCAAGCTCTTATAATTAAATATGCTAACTGTTTTGTCTCTGATCTCACTTAATACGCAACAATAAATGATAAAACTCGCTGTAATTTGTTTTCGTCTTTGAAAAAATTTGAATCAATTTATGAAGCATCACAGACTAAGATATATAAAGTAAATAGTAACGAAAACTATTATCTCCAGTTTTTCATCGCATGAAATCGATTGTGAAAACATGCAATATCTATTGTAAATTTCTCATCGTACTTACTTGATAATATTGATTTCATATACTGAATATGTAGTAATATTTTTCGTGTATTTATATGTATAATTATTGATCATAAGAGAAAAGAAAATCATGATAAAATAAAACTGGTATTGAGTGCATTCTTTTTTTCTTTCTATACATATATTATTTGGATGTCCTTTTCACCTGCTTTGCTAGGACGCACTTGTGTCTGACGTCAAACATTCATTGTTAGAATTAAGGTATTTTCAAGTCTATTCTCTTTCTACATAAGAAGAAAAATAATACGATTTGCAATCGTACTTTATATGTTAGTATTTTTCATATGCGGACTCATAACCCCTGTTATTACTTATTTAATCGTTGTCCTTTTGCATTTATATAACGTTTTTTTTATCACTCATTTTGATTTATTTCGAGGTCGCTAACTAATACGATGTTTATATTACGTAGGTTTGTTGTTTTTACCAATAAACTTTCATAATTAAACTGGATTTTCTTTTAAATGTAGTAAATATTGCATTTGATGGCTAATTGAAGATTTCAGTATCTCCTTTCATTAGATAAATATAATATTATTATTTTTCAATGTAAACAGATAGGTAATAACATTGTCTGTTTTTTAACGAGATATTTGTTAAAAGTATATATAAAAAGAGCATTAAAAATGGGTTGTTTTTAATACAAAAGTTAATCATAACTATTAAATAAAAAAGTCAAAACAATTAATATTAGTTTTCTGAATAACTATCAGAATAGAAAAATGATTATATGAGCACAACATTTTTTAATATAGAAAATTATAATATCCATTATTAACATAAATAACTTAGGTTTAGATAATTTTCATTATTCGAAAATAATCGACAACGAATATTGCTGTACACAGATCGAAAGAGACATACATGATACATATTACGTTTATTTCTAATGAATAAGATTAATAAAAAAAATACGTTCTATCATAATCTAAAGAATAATATGCAATCTCTCACATAAGTCAGTGAATTTTCAGTAATCGATAGTATTTATGTACATAATTTATATAACCTGCCATAGATAATATTGCAATTTGTACATAATTATTAAGTTACAGATGAATTATTGAATTAACTTTATTTGAGGATATGGGTGCGAGTGACTCACTCATTATCCACACACACTCTTAATAAGAAAAAGAAAATTGATCCTTAAATTGCATTGATTTTAATATTTTTTAGGTATATATTTGTCGATTCATTCATTCTGCTTCTCTGTCTATTTGTAAATGATCGAGTGGACTTCGTCTGCTCTGTGCGTGTAGAGGAAACGATAAAGAAAGAAAAAGAAAAGAAACATGTGCGCGCAATCGTTTCATTTATTATCACATATTTATACATAACCACTTTCTCATACAACACAATCGTAAATGTTCGTTTTCTTAGTTATTTTTTTCGCCATCTTATGGCTAATATATATAAAATTGAAATGTTTTACACTTCGTGGTCCAGTGCCTGGTCAACCACCACATTTCTTTTTTGGAAATTTAATTCAATCAGGCTTATTATTTGGTTCTAAACCAATTTCTGACGTTTATATATCTTACAAAGAACGTTTTGGTGATATTTATTTATTTTGGGTGGGTTTTACACGATATACTATCGTACATAATATTGATGATGTTCAATATATTTTTAATAATCGAAATAAATATGATCAAGGAAGTATATTTTTAGAAAAGGTCAGTATATTGGTTCCTGACAGTATTATTTGTAACATAGGTAATGCTTTTTTTTCTTTTGTTTCTATCAAAGATTTTTTTTTCATTGTGATATTTAGGCGCTAAATTCAAACGACATGGTGCAATCACTATGCCATTATTTCGTCGTAATAAAATTCTTTCGAATATTAATATAATCATTGATGGTACGGACCAACTATTAGATCGATGGCGCACTCAGTCATCTGAACATGTGCATACTGATATTGTTGAACAATGTCAAAATCTTCTACTTGAAGTCTTTGGAATGATTGCTTTTGATTACGATTTGGAAACAATTAATGAGAATCTTTCAGAAAATAAGAATGAACTGACTGAAGCTCTAAAATATATTGTGGACGTATTTCGAATGATTACCTACGCACCTAGTATCATTTCAACTACTTATTTAAAATACAATCCTCGATATCAACGAGCACGCACCACCATCGAACGGTATTTGAATAATATGGTAGAACAAGAATTGACTGAAAGCTTAGATTCGAGAACAGAACGGAAGAAAATTTCATTGATCGCTTCATTGGTTAGTTCATTACAAACAGATGAAAAAGCAGAAGCAGTAAAAAAAGAAGAAGACAAAAAAGGTAAACTTTATCTTTGATATAAATAGATAATTATTAAGAAATCATCAAAAAAAATTGATAGGTATTTCCCGAAAAGAACTTTTTGATGAGATGCTTATGTTTTTAATTGCTGGTTATGAAACAACATCGACTGCTCTTGCTTGGTGTATTTATCAACTAAGTAAACATCCTCGTATTCAAGAAAAGATCAAGAAAGAATTGATAGATGATAATACTGGACAATATTTATCATTTGATCATCTTGATTCATTTGTTTATTTGGATTGTTTTATTAATGAAGTTCTTCGTTATTCTCCAACAACCGATGGAACAAGTCGTACAGTAGTTGTCGATGATTGCCTTCCGTCAAGTGGTACTCGACTTTACAAAGGCGATCAAGTACTTATTCCATCATCTGCTCTTGCTCGAGACGATCGCCATTGGAAAATTGATCCTAATTTGTTTTATCCGGAAAGATTTCTTAATGAAGATAAACATCGTCATCCATGTGCATTTTTACCATTCGGGAATGGTCATCGTCAATGTATTGGACAAGATTTAGCTCGATTAGAACTCAGAATAATTCTAGCTCGCATGTTACAACAAGTGACAATCGGTGATGGTGGCCCTGAGTTTAATACGGGTGGTTGCATTCAAAGACTGACTATCGTGCCGAAACACGTCGGAGTCACTATTCAATTTAGTTAATCCATGAAAAACTAATTTCCTTTTTCTCTTATTTTTTTTTCATTTCAATCATTAGAAACAATTAAACAAGTCTTTTTATATAATACTCGTCATTTTATTTCTGCTTAAGTAACATTTATTGGGCATTGGAAAGTTAAGCACAGGAAAGATAACAGCAAACATACATATAAATTATGTGTATGGGGTGGGTTTGAGTTTATCTAAACACATCCTCATCCATACCCACATCCACACCCTCAAGGTTTTTTAGCGATTTTGAGAACGTGAAATGTTACAGATAAAAAATTTGAAAAATAAGAACAGTGTAAAGTCAGAAAAAGACGACGAAACTCATAACATGTCTAAAACCGTGTCACATATTCCGAAAGATCATTACTAAATTTTGATTGTTCAATATCTTGTTCACATTTAAGAATTTGTTCATGAAGTTCGTGCCATCGATTTTCTAATGTTTTTAATACCAATTCATGTTCAATTGAATCTTCATTAGCTGAATATAAACAGAATGTTTTTTTTATCGTAATAAAATCACTTAAATAGTTTACCATCTTTTAATTGTTTTGTTATGTTATTTCCTGTTTGAATAAATTCTTTAAAATGATCATCATCATATAAGATATATGTTATTTTAACATTCTGAAAAAGAAAGAAAAGTGATAAAAAGAAAAACAAAATGTGTTTTTGTAAATTAACTCGAATAATATCTTCTTGCTCTTCAAGTTGTAGTTCTTCATTTAGTATTCTTTCGATATTATCAATCCATTCGATATGTTTTTCAGCTGATAAATCAAAATCTGATTTCATTGAAAGTCTTTTATTTTTATTTATGGAATCATCAGAATTTTCATTGGATTGTTTTAACTATGATTAGTAACGAAAAAGAATTTCTTTATTAAAAAATGATGAGAATATAAATCATATATTTACTTGTAATGAACATTGTTGCAAATCATCAATAAGTTGTGTCAAACGTTGTTCGAAATTATTTCGTTGTTCATTTAAAATTTTGAATTTATTTGATGATACAGGATCAAAATATTTACCAAGCAATTTTAAACTATTGTCTAATAAATGAATTACTTGTTGTATATCATCTATTTCAGATGCCGTTTGCTTGAAAAATATATATTAAATTGTAAAAGTTAGATATATTATTAATTTTAACTTCTTACCTGAATAAAATGAACTTTATCCGTCTCTTTAGTATTCGTTTTTCGTATTTCATCTTCTTTCTGTGTTAACCATTGATCAAGTTTTTCTCCATTTAATTCAAAATCTTCAAATTGAGTTTTAACTTCTTGTAATTGTGCCCAATGTTGTTGTACAAAATTACATATATATTCCCAACGTTTACTACAGTCGAATAATTTATTTTCAATTTCAGTCGAATTATATTCTTGATCAACTGATGTTGAATCATCAACTGCAATGATAAAGTTTTCTAACGATTGACTTATTTCTTGTTGAACAATAAGTTCGTCTTGTAATTGAACTAATTGTCGATATTGGCGATCGATACCAGGTATACTGTCTTCCATTGCTTCTAAATTTGTTGATATACGTTCTTCGATTTGAGATAACCATGTAGCGAATGATGTCATTTGATCAGTTTGAAGTTTCATTATTGTCTTATGAAGACTAAAATTAAATTAAAGATAATCAGTCGATCGGTTATGCAGTCAAGATGTGACTGAAACTATTTGATATTTAATTAAAAAAACGATTTCACTAAAATCTCTTACATTGATTGTCTATCAAGTGATTTCGAACGTAATAATGTCCATTTTTCATTAAGAATTCTGATTTGTTCTTTAATTTCATTTTCTTCTTGTGTTTGTAAATGAATATCAGTTGATGTTAATAATTGATTTACTTGTGAAAGTATATCATCGACTTGATTTTCATCTTTATTTAAAGTTAGAATAAAATCCTTTTAATAAACAAAACAATAAGAGATTTTATTAGAAATTGCTCTATATACTTCATGATTTTGAAATTGTTCTTTAATAATATTCAAATCATTTGATAGAGTTTTATCCTGATTGCCATATTTCTCTTCAAGTGTAGCAACCCATTGCAGTATTCGTTCCATATTTGTTTGATATGTTAACAAGTCCGTCGAAGACTAGAAATTTCAGAAAAAGAACGGGAAAGCAAAAATTGATCGAATGTTTTGTAATTAACACATTCACAATAATCAAGAGAAACTAGTAAGGCGATAATAATGAAAATAAAAACCTTCTGTCTTGACTATTCCAACGAGAAATATTACGCCTAACCTTCTATATAAGACAGAATAAAAGTGTTTTTTCTTAACTTACGTTAGCTACTTCATTGCTGATTTCTTCAGTGAAAGCTTCCTTTTGAATATATTCATGTTTGTCTGCAAAATAATGATGAGTGATAATGATTAATAAAAAGAAATGAAATAAAGGGTGTCTGTGGGTATGGGAATATCTGCAATCGAACACACCCACAACCTCACGTATTCACTTTTGTTTAGTGATGAGTTTTATGTGTAATAAATACTTACCAACTTGAATGTCATCGAGAGCACCCTTTTCTCCAACAATAATGCCGCTTACTATACGAGCGCCAGAAGTCATGAACCAGATGAGAAAAATACATTTAGTAAGCCAATAAAACATTAATGAGTTGAATAGATTATGTCCTAAATACTCGACAGAGATGAGTAATGAATAAACAATCCAATAGATCAATAATGGTCTAGTGTCATGTTTTTCTGATGATTGGACAATTGATAGCCTAGAAACATAAGAATCAAGTTTAAACTAACAAGACAATTCACATAATAAAGTTTCATTGATATAAAAATTTTGTCCTTTAGTTGAACCTCAGAACAAATAAAAACTTATTATCAAGTAGGTTTATTAAATTGTACATCTAGTGAAATCATGTCAGATAAAAATAAATACGCAAAAACGCTTTACACGAAATACCTATGCTCGATTCATTAGATTTAAATAATAAGTGGAAGATGTGAGAACTAATATTGTTATAAGTCCCTCCTTCACTTTTCAGATGTGTCTGTGAAAGTATTTTGGTTACCTATCTGCTAAATTTCTTTGGATAGTCTGCGATTTTTAAAACAGTTGACGGACGTTCTGTATGCTGAATATGAAAATACTTTTTCTTGAAGCTTATAAGGAAAATATTGCCTTTGATTCCATATCACTAAATGAAGTATGTCGAAGTAAAAATGATTTTGTGTGGTTTGGATATTAAAAAAATTCTATAACATCTCGATTTTCACCTGTCTCATGTTCGAAGCTTATCAATGAATCTGATAGAAACCCATCTGATTAATGTACGATTTCAACATTATGATGCAATGAGATTCTAAATACTAGAAATTCACGTGCGAATCTGATTTTTGAGTACTGAAAATAATTTTCAGTTCATGGTTCAGAAAAATTTCTATTCTAGTCGTATGAAAGATATGTACATGAAATACAACTTACGAAGCATAGACAGGATAAAGAATTCCAATGAAATTACAGAGGAAGTCATTGTTCCAGCCAATCACCAAATAGATAGCTAAAAAGCCAAGAACACCTAAGCGAACAGAATGATGAAATAAGAGAAAAAGAATAATAACAACATACCGAGAGCAACTAATGAACGTTCTAGTTGTATTTTCTGCTCGATATGGTCGAAAATAGGACTAATCGAATTGTTTTGCAAATACGGATTGATTTTATTCTTTATCTTAGAAATATTGTCCATAACCATAGCAGCCATTCGTTTATATATAATTTTAAATCTTAAATAATACTAAGAAAAAATAAAAACAATACAATAATCGAAGAATTTTAGATCCGCATTATATAATAAATTAACTGTTCTCTTCTGGTTTTGCCAAATCGCCAAAAATATTCTGTATGTAGACATAGTCAAAAACTGTGTCAACTGATATTCGAGAATGCTTTATCGATCGCTGGATCAATTTCTTATCAAATCTTTAGATCGAATTTGTATGATTCGGTTGTTTGAAAATTATTTTAGATTTTTCTAGTTTCATTACAGCCTAAATGTCAAGCTGTGTCAAGTAAGAAACGATGAAGCAGTTAATTTGAAAAGAAGAATGCGATCTTATTTTATTTTCTTGTGTAACATACAATTGTAGGTCAACTGACGAAAAATTACAAATAGTAAAAAGTAGTAAAATCCTTCGCTTATCACTTACATACGGATAGATACGACGTTACACGAAAAAAACTAGAAAATAAATGACTGATTGTTTGTATGAGTAGATATACTTGTTTTTCTCTCGCTTGACAAATATATAAAAAATAGATTGCTTTGATTTCGATCAGTAATAGTATTATTACCAATTAATAACATATCATTAAGGCAACCAAACGATATTTATCGTGAGATGGAAGTTTTTTTCCTTCCTTTCTTTCATCGCATCATCAATCCGCAGCGTGGCGATACACTATGCATCAAAATAAGTCATGTACATTAAGCATAACTGAAGTCCATTAATCCATACAATACCTTTTTCCTATATTTGATGTACATAACCATTAATAGTTGTCCTCAGTTGTCAATGTTTTCTTCGTTATTTGTTAATCTATTAGAATTCAAAGAACTATTATTTGAAGTTATTTTGCGCCTCAGTTTTGATAATTAGCAACGTATTTAACTCTAAATCGTTATAAAGATATTCTGATATCATTTCTTTTTCAATTTGATAAAAAAAAAGAAAGTTTAGTGTATTACAGGTGATAGAATGATTAAGTTATTCCAGCATTGTTTTTCACATAATACGAGAGAAATTAGCTAGATTATTATGTACATATAGCTACGAAATAAGTAATGTGTATGTGTTTTTTTGTTGAGTAGACTTGAATTTATTTTTCTTTTTTTTCAAAGTGAATTATTTTTTAAAAATAACATAAAACAATCATGCTAATAGATTCTATGTTGTCGAAGTATACTTTATCATCAGAAGAAAAAAAATGTTTTTTTCGAGTCATTCTGTATAGAAGTGATTCTGTAAGGTGTTTGTTTCTGGCTTCATCACAAAAAAATTTATACATTAGTTGGATGAAAATACGCTTTGAGTGAGCTGTTGGTATCAAATTTAAATTCTTCTGATAGTATTTTGAAATCGTAAGCATATACGAATGCATTCACTATAGTAGATTCTGTTGAAATTTCAGCACATATATATTTTAAAGAAAAATATATTGTAAAATATTAAATTTTTCTCGCTTGTTTTTTCTTTGCAACGTGTAAAAACATTAACTTTTTTTCTTTTTGTTTAGAAGGTATGCAAAATATTTTATTCACTCCTTCGATCGAGATAATTTCTTTTCTTTCTTCACAAAACATGATTCACTAGTTGTCGTTAACGTATCACATGAGTCATCTAGGAAAAAACCAACATTCGTTATATATAATCGATAAATTTTTTTTATCATTTTCACTTAGATAACTAGGAAGAAGAATGGTAGTCGATAAAACTCTATATGATGTACTTAATGTCGAACCCAATGCATCGCAAGAAACAATTTCAAAAGTAAGATTTCTATGATGTAATATTTAATGTTGAAAAAAATGAAATTTATTTTAATAAGGCTGTGAAAAGAAAATCATTAGAACATCATCCTGATCGTGGTGGAAGTCATGAAATGGTAAATTTATTTAAATAAAATAGATATAGAAGATTTATTTTTTTTTCAAATTTAGATGCAACAAGTAAATGCAGCAAAAGAAATCTTAACTGATCCTGAAAAACGTGAAATCTATGATCGATATGGATTAAAAGGAATGCAATCGAGAATGGAAAGAGAAGATTTTCAATTTCCAGGTTTTCACAATGATAGTATGTTTAAATAAAAGATTTTGTTCACTGTTACACATATTTTTGTTATATTTAGTTTTTGATATATTTAATTTATTTAATCGTGGATCAAATCATCAAAACACTGCTCAAACAAACGAGGGCGATGATATAAAACATATTCTCCAGTAATAAAAAAAATGTTTTTCTTTGAATTTTTGTAAAATTTTTGTTTTTCAGAGTTTCTCTCGAAGAATTGTATTCGGGTAGTACAAGAGTTGCTGTCATTGAACGTAATATTGTTTGTAACAATTGTACAGGGTATGTAGAGAATTTTCCTTTAGGAAAAAAAGGAACTCTTTTTATTTATTCTAAAATAGTTCGGGTTCTCGTAATGGCATTTCACGTGAATGTACAAATTGTCATGGAACAGGAGTTGAAACATCAATGCAACGAATAGGCCCATTTGTCCAACAAATAAGACGTGAATGTTTGATGTGTGATGGAACTGGAAATATTATCGATTCAAAGAATCAATGTAAAGCATGTTTTGGAAAAAAAATTGTTCGAGAAGAAAAGATCATTGAAGTAAATATTGTACCTGGTAGTAGAAATTCTGAAATAATTAGATATCCTGGTGAAGCTCATCAAATTGTAAGTTTTGAAAACCAACAAACTGAAATTTTTCATGTAGTTTTGATTTCATTTTAGCCAAATGGAATACCAGGAACATTATATATTATACTTAAACAAGCATCTCATGAAATTTTTACTCGAAAAGATAATGATTTGTTAATGAATATGGATATCAATTTAACTGAATGTTTATGTGGTTTTCAACGTTTAATTGAATTATTAGATGGTCATCAAATTTTAATTGATCATCCTGCAGGAAAACCTATTTTACCGGATAGTTTTCGTTGTTTGAAAGGTCATGGAATGCCAAATAGACATACACATTCACATGGAGATTTGATTATTCAATTTGATGTCAAATTTCCTGATGAAAATCATTTTCATTTAACTGATAATCAGCGTCAAGTAAGTTATTCATTCATCTTGATTCAGAGTTTAATTAATGTTGTTTTTTATTTTTTGTTAGCAATTAGAATCAATTCTTCCACCAAAGAAACGAGTTCAATTGAACAGTACAGATCGTTATGAACGACCTGAAATGGTTAAATGTGATATGACGAGAGAAAACTTTCAAAATGATCATCAGGAAGAAGATGAAGACCATGATTTTGATCAACATCCAGAGAGTGTTCGCTGTCAACAGCAATAAAATTTTCTTTTTTCTCAATACATATTTTTCATCATGATATTCTGAATTTTGAAAGAAATAGCATTTCTAGATTGTGATTATGAATCAGAGATTTAATGAGGGTGTAGATCTGAGTGTACATATATCAAATAGAATATTCACATTCAAATCCACACCCACACCCGCGAACAACATAATTCCCTCTAAAACATCACATTTTTTTGTTCGTTTTTCTAAGAGATATTTATTTTTCACTACGAAGATTATAGTTTTATATCATCGATGATTAATTGCACAGCACTTAAATCCGATTTATTTCATATGAATTCTTTTTCTTTTTCTTTCACAATAAAATGCGTTATTGGAAAAAAAAAGAAAAAAAAACGGCAACTATCGTTACTTTATAAAACAAACGAAAAAAACATTCAGTCATACACACACACACAATACTGTTCGAAATTTATAAACTATCAGAATTTTTGCAAATCATTCGGTTTAAATAATTTCGTTTAGGTAAGTTTTACATTTCAATCATTGGAAAAAACGAGATATGACCGCTTAGTCTAGGACTTTTTAATTCATTTTAAGTTTTTAGATAAATGTCAAACTCACCGCTTGTCTGTTTGCCTGTTGAACTTCTGCATCGTATCTTTGATCACCTCGATGCGTACACCATTGTTATTTCAATCCGTTCGGTTTGCAGACAACTTCATGCGGTTGTCAACTCCTATAATCGTTTTCAACTCGATTTCCGTTCAACTGGCAGCTCCAGTTTACAGAAAAATTCTTCCTTTAAAATTATCTCTCGTATCGTTCAACCTTTTAACGTCACTTCACTGATGTTTTGCGATGGCTCTATCGACCAAGAGTACATCGAATTTTTTCTCGCAAATTTTAACATTAGCCAATTCACTAGACTTCGTTCATTGGCCTTTCATGGAATCAAATGCAATCAAATGAACAAATTTTTTCAGCATGTTACTATCAATTCTTTAGTCTCACTGACAGTCAGTATGTATGAGCAAGCAGATAATACAGTCTTCTCAACTATCTTTTTAATTGTCGCTCAAACCAAACTTCAAAAACTACGTTTAATTCATCTAGATTATACAACTAATCAAATAGCGTGGCCTATTCAAAGTACATTAGAACAAATGACAATCGGAGACTGTTCTTATCACCAATATCGTATCATTCTCTGTAACTCACTCGGTTTGAGAACACTTGTTATTGGAGATTGTACTATGGACAATATTGATCCAACGGTTTCTTCATATGCACTTACAATATTTGATTCTACAGGTAGAGTTAAATATGCATCTTTCAAACATCATCTATTTCATTGTATAGTTAGCAATTCGTTTTAGATACTTAAAGTTCGGACGAGGCTCACAGTCTGACCAGAAAACTTCTCGGATAAAAGTCCCAGCTCCCTAATAGTGTACCCGCACTGTAAAATGAACTCTTAAGCTATTATAATAATAATACAGAGATAGATATAACTAGTTGTATCTTGCCTTCATCCCCATTTTCGATGAAATCAATAGCTATCAGTGAAAAATATTTACCTAAATATTTTATGGAGTAAACATATCGAAGAAAAACATTTTTACTTTCCCTCATCTTCATTTGAACATTTTTTAGCGCATCATGTTTTGCAACATTTTTAATTTTCAATCAAAATCAGGTGTACTAGTAAAAAATGAAATAGACTCAATTTTTGACTATCTATTAATTTTTTTATGAAAGAAAATTAAACACAATTTAAACAAACTTCAATCATCTGTGTCAACAACTTGTAAGGCTCAGTTTCTTTGAAATATGTCAGAAGAATAGATCACCAAAAATAATACATACTCTATGTTCTAATTTAACAGTGTATCCGCAATTGGTTTCATTGACTATTGATCACTGCCAACTATCGACCCAAGAACTTGAATGCCTTCTTTCATTGACACCATCACTTAATCATCTGAAACTGGTTTCATTTAGATCGAAACTTGATTCGATATTCGATGGTTCATATTGGGAACAATTCATTAAAAAGAAACTACTTCTACTGAATCAATTTCAACTTTCCCTCACTTGTAAAGGCGAGAAATTGAATAACATCACTACTCTCGATTCACTTCTCTTGCCATTTCAAAGTCCATTCTGGCTCAACAACAAAAAATGGTTTGCTACTTGTGATTATCTTGTACGAGAATCGAAAATTATACTCTATACAACAGTACCATTCTGGATGAAGCTTTTTGTCACAGACGAATCTCCTATATTTGAATTACCGTTAATAAACTCTAAATGTCGCTTACTTTTATGTACGAAGTACAATAGAAGCTATAATACCATAGAAAACGTAAGTCTGATACAACCTTCTTATACGTATAACAATAATCATATGCGTTACAGATAAGGAAATCCTTGAACACATACGCCATATAGACGTTTCGTCAAGTACGCTTTCATTCTCAGTCAAATAGAATAAACGAGTTGTATCATTTTAGTTGCACAACAAAATATGAATAGATCTTAATCATATTTTACACAAGATCATATAGGTCACAATCTTCTGTGACGCGTCTCGGTACCCATTCCATCTATAATTCTTCATCCCCCGTTGCATTTCATGATGTATATTGTTATGTTTTTACATAGACATCCTTTGAATTAAATTTTTCCTGCAATCGAATTGGAGATAATCTAGTACAACATATAGCTGTGGCGTTACTAAACTACAAAGTGACATATTTTTCAAATTCATTACACTGAAATTCAAGTTTTATCTATCATTCAGACATTAATTACAGTTGATCTTTCACGTAATGAGATTGGTGACATTGGAGCACAGTATTTGGCTGCCACATTACAAAACCATCAAGTTAGATATTTCTCACATTTATTTAAAAGTTATACTTATTTCTCAATTTATACACAGACACTTACCAATCTAAACCTCTCCTGCAATCGAATCGGAAACAATGGAATGCAATATCTTAATGATGCCTTTAAAGAAAACAAAGTAAACCTTAGACACTTCTCATTTATCTTTAGTATCATCATTCTTTGGTATAGACACTTATTAAATTGAACCTCAAACACAATCTTGGTAGTTACTGTATAATTGTGAGCGCATCAATTCAAATACGAAATGATAAAGTAATTCGTTTCTTCCAAATTTCTTCTCACAAATGTTTACCTTTTTCTAAAGACAATCACTAAAATGAATCTTCGATCGGAAAAGATCAATGATAGTAGAATGAGATTTTTGACTGATGCACTAACCAACAATGAAGTAACATCGTCTCTCTATTTATTCCGTTGATGATCATAGTTTCATTGTGATATAGACAATCATTGAGTTGGACCTTTCTCAGAATAAAATCGGAGATATTGGAACTAAAAACTTGACTGATGCATTACGAACGAATCAAGTAAGATTTAATTTAGGTTTATCTATTCTAATGATGATTTTTTTTCCTTGTGACATAGACAATCACTGAGTTGGACCTTTCCGGAAATAGAATTGGAGATATTGGAACAAAGTATTTAGCTAATGTATTACAAACGAATCAAGTGATATTTATTCAAGGTTTATTTATCCTAATGATTATTGTTTTTCTTGTGATATAGGCAATCACTAAGTTGAACCTTATGACAAATAAAATAAGTGACATTGGAGTACAATATTTAGCTGATGTATTAAAAAATAACAAAGTGATAGCTCACTCACATTTGATATCATAATAATTTTTACTTTTCCTCCATAGGTGCTCACTATCCTCGAACTCTCCTACAATCAAATTGGAAACAATGGAATGCAATATCTTAATGATACTTTAAAAGAAAACAAAGTAAATCTTCAACATTTCTCATTTGTCTTAAGTATCGTCATTCTTCGGTATAGACACTTCTCGAATTAAACCTCAAAGGAAATCCTGGTAGCTACTCTATAATTGTGAGCGCAGCAATTCAAATACGAAATGATAAAGTAATTCGTTTCTTTCAAATTCTTTCTCACTAATGTTTATCTTTTTTTTTGAAGACAATCACTAAAATGGATCTTTGTAGGAAAATTACTGACGAAATTTGGTTGAAATTTTTGACTGATGCACTAATCAACAACGAAGTAACATCATTTCTAGATTTGTTCCATTAATGATCATAGTTTCGTTGTGATGTAGACAATCATTGAGTTGGACCTTTCGGAGAATAAAATCGGAGATATTGGAACAAAATATTTAGCTGATGCATTACAAAACAATAGAGTGATTAATAACTTGTATCAGTTTTTATTATAGTGAACTTTGCATTTTCTCACAGACATTGACGATACTAAAACTTTCAATGAATCAAATAGGACATATTGGTACAAAATATTTAAGCGATCTATTACAAACGAACCAAGTGAAATTTATTTTAAAATTTCGTATCATTGATGATTATTTTTTTTTCATTTGACACAGATGATTACTATGATGGATCTCTCGGGGAATCATATTGGAGACACTGGGGCTCAACATTTAGCTAATGCTTTACAAAATAACATAGTAATTTATTATCCCAATTTATTCAAGTATTAATTAGATTTCTCATTGTGAAATAGACATTCACAGAATTGAATCTATGGCATAATGAAATAAGCCATATTGGAGTACAATATTTATCTGATATGTTACGAAATAATACGGTAAAAAATATTTTTGACTGATTTAATTAGTAATAATCATTCTGTTTTGAATAGACAATCACTTCGATTGATCTTTCAAAAAATCAAATTAGAGATAACGAAGCTAAATATCTTGGCGATGCTTTGCAAAACAACAAAGTGATTATTTATTCTCAGTATTACCTATTTTTATTATTTAACGTATAGACACTCACCAAACTAATACTCGATTCTTATTATTATGATGATGACCATGCTGATAAGAAAACAAATATAATCAGTGATATTGGAGCACAATTTTTAGCGAATGCCTTACAAAAAAATCAAGTCATTTATGTTGCTAATATATTTTATTTTTATTAATGATAATATTTTGATTTAGACACTTACTAAACTTAGTCTTGAATCGCATCAGATTGGAGATATTGGAGCACAACACTTCGCTGCAGCCTTGCAAAACAACAAAGTAACGAACTCTTTTTTAGTCATCTGACATTGACTTATCTTGATTGTTATACGTTAGATACTGCAGGAATTGGACCTTTACAACAACAAAATTTCGATCGAACTACAAGATCATTTGAAGATGAAAGATGAAAGATTTTGTTTTTAATTATATTATGATTAGAATTCTGATGGATGATTAATTGTTTTATTTAGTTTTCAATTGAATAAAGTAATCAAAATATTGATATGATCCAATTCTTTGATGTTTTTCTTTCTAAGAAGATCCAATGGTTAATCTTATAAAATTCGATCTATCGCATCACTTAATCACTGTATTTATTTCACTGATATCATTTTCAACTATTTTAGCCATTATCTTTCTACTTCGATCAAATAATAGAGTATAAAAATTAGTCTACTTATTTTCTAGTAAAATAATAGAAAACAGGAATAAACTGACATTAGAAACTATAATTAAAAACGCAATAATATATAATCTTCTTTAAAAAAGTATTTTTATAATCATAATATAAGCGTGTATTTAATTATCTACCGCTCTTCCATACATCATCAACACTCGCCTATCCTCCAGATAATTTAACAATATATTAGTAAGTTAGCAAAATGTCGAAAAACTGAATATCATAAGAATAAGTTATGATGATACTTTTATAATTCGACATTCAGATTTTTATCTAGCCTGCATGAATTTTAGAATATGGACGTGAGTATTGTTATACACTATTCTACTCACAGTCTCTTTTTATTACAAATTTTTTATTTGATAAAAGATATCGAATTTTTGAGTTGAATAGACAGAAATTTAGACACTTAAGAAAACGAGTAAATTTGCATAATATTCAATTTTATTTTAGATTCTGCAAAGTTTTCTTTTTTAGAAAAATAAATCTTTAAATATTAATTTTTGACTTTGATAGAATTAAATAATTCTTCTTCAATAGTTTAATTCCACATCATAATAAAAAATGTTAACTTTGCCAGTTGAATTCCAACCGAATAGTAGAAAATGTCGTTGTTGTCAAGAAAATATTCAACATCTTGAAGGTGTGGGTGTCGGTCTGAGATCGACTAAAGAAGATACACTCACACCCACACCCTAATTATTTTATTTATATATTCATTTTTCATAGGTTTGATGTGTTTCGATGATATTCATATTTTTGAATAGCATTTGGTAAAGATACATTCTGCAGATGAGCTACTTCGCTTTTCTTATCATTTTTTTAATGTGTAAAATAAGAATAAAATCAATTGTGCAATACATTTCAGATAACAGATAATGTCGATATATCTTATTCTTGAGGAAGCGTTGTATTTCCTTCGTAAAGGAATGATTTTCGATGTGTTCTTTACAAGAATAACATTAGGTTTTGTTTGAAACACATTGTTTTTACATCCTTCCTACAAAAGTTTAATATCATATACATTTATTTATATTTACTGTGAATAATCCCTGACATTTCATATCAGTTTCGAAAAAGGAAACGGATTCATTGTTTTTCTTTATTGATAAATTCAAATGTTGTATTTGCTGCAAATATTTCAAAAAAAAATTTCCATCGATATCATTATGTAGGCGAACAGAGGAAAAAAGTAAACCATTTATTTTTTAATGTTCAGTTTTCAGTAAAATATAGAACAGTTTTTCTACTCTTCAAGTCAATTCTCATAGTTAATTATTGGAGAATGCAATTAAAAATAAGGGTGTGAGTGTGTGTATTTTATTTCAATCACACCCACACCCTCACCCATTCTATTCGATCTAAATTTAAAGGTGCATAGAAATCGGGTCTGCTAAAATTCTAGTGAGACCCGAACCCGCGCGAGACCCGAGAAATTTTTTTGTTAGTTCTGGACCCGATCGGGTCTAGATTGATCCACAGCTCTCTAATCTTTTGTCAATGAGAAGATTATTGTTTATGATATTTCAAAAAAAAATAATTATGATTTATTATTAACAACAAAATTTATTAACATAAAAAGTTATATTCTGCCTCGTTTTTTTGACGGTAAATATGCATTGTAAAATCATATTTTAGAATATGTTATTTTTAAAAGGGAAAACAACTAAAGATCATGGAACAGAAGCTGCAATTTACATTTTCTATATCAATTTAAGGAAAAAAAAGAAACCGATTTTTTTTCATCATTTATTGTAGATAATAGTTAGTCAGTAGGAGGTAAAGCATAAGTATAACAAAAAATAGTATTTTTTTGTAAACCTCTACAAAAGCTTTTTATCGTTTGTTCAGTAGTGTTACACTAGAAAATATCTCTCCTTCTTCTCTTCGCTACTTGTTTTTTTTCCACCCATGTATATTTTCTGCCACTGTAGCGTATTCCTTGTACAATCACTTTTCTGTTTGTTGCTATCTAGCATTTGAAAAAGTCTCAACGGAAATGCATGGCTTATTCTTTTAATAATCTTTGTTGTGATACAAGGTATTGTATACAGGCGGCAATGCATTTTTCGATGTAGTTTTGATTACTTTATCTGACTATAATCTAGAGGGGAACTATTGGTATTTTTTTTCAACATAAAAATAAGATTTTCACAAAATATGCTGGGAGTCAAAGGATTCTAAACATTTTAACCTTTATATTAGAGTTAGTCTATTGTAAAAATAGTAAATTTAATTTGTATATAAAACTATACCAACACACATATAATAGATATATAACTGTCTTAGATTGCTAATTGAATAACTTCATCGTATCGTCCGTTACCTATCATATCTTCGATTATCAGTTGAGAAGATGCGTCTTTTTCAATTTATATCAGAAATCAATCTGTTTGAGACAGATGCGACCGATAACATTAGTATTCGAATTCAACGTTTAACTACTTGGTTTTTTATTTCGACTTTTACCACAAGTTTACTGATCGTGACTATTTATGCATCATTATATGCGGGAGAGGTACACATTACAATCCAAAATCCAACTATTGATTTATATGCGGAATTAGCAGCTAAATATTCAATAGAATGTGACTGTTCAGAAACATCCATTCCTCATAAAGAATTCATTAGTCTTCAACCGATTTATCATCAAGTTTGTTCGAGTGATTTTGTTACGCAACGTTGGATTGATTATCTATGCCATTCAACTGAACATTCTTTCTATTTTTATGCTGATTTTCGTTCAACCGCTGTGCAACAATTTCAGCTATTGGCTATACTTTGTCAATTAAGCATTCAAGAAACTAAAGATGGTCTTGATTTGTTTCTTCATACTGAAATTATTAGTGACAAACTAATGAGTAAAGATTTTCTTGTAGCTGAAACTCAAGCTCGTATTGGCACATTCAAAACAAATGCACCTGATGCATTGCATTATAAACTAATGTTCATTCGTGAGATGATTGCAGGCAATGCTCTCTTATCGTCAACCCCAAATATTTTCCAATTTATGTTTCAATATCATGATTACGGATACGGACCTGTTTGGAAGATTAATCATGAAAATGTTTTTCACCAAACTGACGGTAATTTTTGTACTTGCAAGGAATTTTTTACGTGTTATTCACGCGCAGGATTCTTTGGTGGTAGTCTTTTTAATAGTGATAATTCGTTTGCTTATTTATATATTATCGATGGATGGTATACTGGATGTCGACCAATTGATTCACTTCTTTCATCAACATTAAAAACTTTTTATAATTAAACAATGATTAATTCATTGTTACGATATTTTAATAATATATCATCAAATTTTACATGCTTAGATGCAAACAAAGAAAGTATATTTGATGTGAATACTAATTTGTCAACTATTGTTGAATCAGGTTTTATTGAAAAATGGATTGACAATATAAATTATACATTATATTTTAATCATTGTGCACCAAAATTGTGTTTCTATACAATCAACAAACGTTTCAACATTAATTATATTATAACTGCAATTATTAGTGTATACGGTGGTCTTTCTACTATTCTAAGTTTTATAATTCCAAGTATTGTAAAATCAATAATTCGGCATAATGCAGAAACATCTCGCAGAGATTATTCTTTGAGACGATTGAAACAATTAATTTATGCAAGACAATTAGTCACTCCAAATCTAATCACCGAAGATTTCTTCATATCTCAGATGAATTCTGAAAGCGAATATTTTAAACATGTTACACCTAATCGCTTTTCTTATCTGTTGGAATTCGCACGTCAAACAATGAAAGTTAACCAATTTATTTATAATTTCCACACAAATTATGGTATGTCGATAAGAAACGATACAGGGCATGTGCTAGTTTACATTGATACTCCTAGAGACTTGTATGATGATAACAATATTACCTGTTCCCTTATTTTTGACCCAATTTGTGTATTACAAACCACTTTATATATACACATAAATAAAATAAACGTTCCTATACCTGGCTTCTACATATCTCTATTCTATGTTAATTCCTTACTATTAACACAACTCCAATGTTTGTATAATCAATCGTGTGTTAACAGTATTCGTAATGTACTTACCGAACAGCATCATTTCAGAGCATTATCTCAAACAAGTCGCTTTCCAAATAACGTCACCATTGATTTCCTTTCAAAGCATTTATTTACTGAAGCTTGGTCGCAAAACTTAAGTTATATGGGCTATTTTGAACAATGTCAACCTCATTTATGTTCGTACACAATCAATCAACGACGTACTTTCGTTTTACTCATGACAACTGTTATTGGTCTGACCTCCAGTGTATCTATGATACTTCAGTTTATGTCACCATTTATTATATCTTTTATTCTTAAATGTTGTCGACAAACACAACAAACAAGCTCATCTGAAGATACTCAACGAGGTAGTAATTTTTTTTGAAATAAATCTTTTGACTTGTAAAACACGAAAACATAGACGAACTGATTATATCTACAGATTTAATTGTAAAAAACCCACGAAAAATTGACCTTTGATGAGGGATAAAAATAAACTTTTTAGCTATTTATCTTCTCTTGGCTGCCGAAAAGGGTTAAAATGCCGACAATTAATGCCGTAAGAAAAGATATACATCTATAAACCAACGAGTTTTTTTCGAATTTTCAGTGTTTATATTTACGAATATTAATGTAAGGATGTGGGTATGATGATATGCAATCGATGACAGTTCTAATCTATAGCTTTTACTGTATATCAGAACTTTCAAAGAACTCTTGTTGAAAATTTATTTTATGATGTCAGTAATAAGTATATACTTGGTTGTAGGTAATTTTCCTATTCGAACATATTTCAATAATATATGGACAAAATCTCATCAATACATTATGACACTGAATATATTCGAGAATGTTGATAGGCCTAATCCATCTAATGAAGAATTAAATACGCAAAGAAAATGGACACGTGCATACGTCGTCGTATTAATCATAATAATTGCTAGTGTCATTTATATTACCATGCTGTCTTATCGAACAGATACAACGACTCTAGAGAAACCAACATTAGATGTATATGCAAAATTACCAAAGTCAGCTGATTGTTTTTGCACCAACCTGTCTATTCCTTATCACACTTTCGTTAATTTCAATCCACAACTTCATGAAGTATGCAAAAATCATTTTATTGAACCAGATGGTGAATGGATGTCATTACTTTATGATTCGTATGAAGATCAACGACATAATAAACGAAACCTTCGTACATTTCAAGGTATGGCAATATTTCATTTTCAGGCAATACAAGCAATGTGTAAAATGGCTATAATGGCTGTCAATAATGAACTTACTCTCTTTCTGAACTCGACTTTAACCACTGTTGAAATACTTGAACCCGATCTATTTGAAAAGAAAATAAATACTACTATCAACAATTTTTGCGCTCAACACGATGCACTCAAATTTTCTTTATCCATTACAATTGATTCGGAATATGTATTCTGGAAATGGTTTAATTTCAGCACTTACTACAAACTGGCATCCAGTAGTTGCACATGAGGCAACTAGTGGATGGATCTATATGCAAGCTGAAAAATATAATCTATCATCATGCAATTGTGCGACAATGCCAGGTTGTGTAGAACCAATGTCTCTTGAATTGAACACAGGATCGAATTGGACAGTGCCAGGAATGATGATTGGTTGTTTACCTCTTGAATCAATGCTTGAATCAACACTAGAATGTATATATGACCAATATTGTCTCAATACAATAACTCAAATTTTTTTGGCTGAGTCGATACAACCGCTTTTCTCTACTCGAACTCGCTTTAAACCAATCAATACGACAAAACTTACAACAATTGCTAGTGAACTATTCATCGAAGATTGGGGTGTTGAATTTATTTATGAAAAGTATTTTGCTAGTTGCCAACCTAAAACTTGCTCGTATGTATTGTCAGAACGATTCTAAATTATGGATTCTATGGGGACAATTTTCACCATCTATGGTGGTATCTGTATTTTACTTCAATTTATTATTCCGATTGGATTTAAATTGGTATATAAATGTTTTTATCGGCGAAATAGACAAATTACAGCAATGGATACTTCTTAATCGAGATTTTTATTCTGATAAAATCCATCAAAAACATTTTCTTTAAATTGAAAACAATAACAATAAGCTTTTTGTATATTTATCTTCATATTATTCAATAAATATCTTTGCTTTATTTGAAAAATATGTTTTTTCATTTTTCTATTTAAAGCAGTTTTTGATTTGCACAATTACAAGTTCAGAAAAATAGATGATCACTTTAGTGAGGATGGGTGTGAGTGTATGCATAAGATGATTTTAATATACGCATCGATTCAATCTCGTTTATTTAGGAACAACTGAGAAAATAGATTAATATAAATAAATATTATAATTTAGTTAAGAGATTAATTGTATAAGATTATAAACAATTTCAATCGTCAGATGATGAGTAGCTGCCTGATTCGACTTCGAATATAATTACAGATTTCCAAACATCATAGGGCCTATCATACTCTATTATAGATAGCTATCTCATGATTCCAATATAATATATTCGTACCTAGGTTTAAATAACAACAACCACCGGTTCTAAGCAAAGTCATGTTCAAAAATAATTTCACAGGTTAAATATCCACTTTCTTCTTGAAGAAAATACAGATTCAGTAACATAAAATAAAAAGTACTAACGACATGACCAATTTGGATCATATGAAATAGATACAGGCACTTGTGGTGCGACAATAATCAGCAAAAATCATCACTGCATCGATATATGTAGTCCTTCATTTCTATAGTGTTACTTTTCATTAAAGATTTGTTCGCGTTATGAACCGTAAGTTTAACGTTTCTTTTATTATTTTAAAATCAAGGTTAGCTATAATAAATTGCAGCCTACCACAAAATCTTGTATGACATATCATCCCATTGGCATATTATCTACTGCGATGATAATCTCAAATCAAATTTCCACTAACATATATATAATATTAATCTAATAGAGCGATGCACAGATGCAGCTGTTACATCTTAAGGGTGTGGGTGTGAGTAGGTGTGGGTATGGGCGTGATCATTAGTTGGAATCCACAGCTACACTTACACTCACACCCTAAGAAATGCATTTGACATATCTGACATGACAGAAATATTCTTCTAGAACTCGATAAAAAAACTTACATTCAACAATTTCTATCTCATGATCACCACTATATATGATAATCTATAGCAACAAGTCACCAATATGTTCTATCTTATGAGAATCTCATGAGTAATAAAATTTGTCTTTTTTTTTGCTTTTCTGCATATGCTAACAAGCTTTTAACTCCCTTACTCTCCTCTAACCCACTCACATACAAGATTTTTCTGATTCCTGATTTTTCTTTTTCAGAATTTTTTTTCTGATTCTACCTTTTCCGGATTTCATGACAACACCCACTGATTATAATGTTATCTAAATGTTCAGTTATACAGAACTGGAAAAAAATGAGCTTTATTAGAAAACATAGTTTATCAGCAAATAGTTATAGATAATTCACTGAGATTGATTTTATGTGGAGAATCTGAATCCATAAATGATTTGGTAGTTGAAGATCATTCCTTGTCAGATTTTCTCTCTAATCTTTAATAAAAAGTGAGAGAAAAAAATTTCTTTATTCAAATGACGTCGTTTAAAACAACAAGAAAAACACTTTTCTGCCACGTCAGTATTTAATATTCATTAGTAAAAATACAACCATAAGGCTGCTTTTCTCTGATTTTTAAGATAAATAATATCGGTAGCATGATATATTATCATAAAAAATTGTTTTTCTCGACAACATATATCTTTGAAAGAATAAAAATGAAGAAATTAAAATAACAGATGGAAAACATTAGTTAATAGAAATAAAAATCATATATTATCTTTTTTCTCTTTTCATATATTTTACAAGAAACGATATCAGTTCATTTTATAAAGTGAAACAATCTTTACGAGACATAAAACTGTTTTGTCAATTTTTAATGGATCAGTCTGAATCTATGAAGACAAATGCAGATGAAACATCAAATTCGTTGCCAAAAACAACAGAGTATGCTTCTTTTTTAAATATTGAAAATGTAACAAAGAAAATCGATTTTGTTTTTAGAGCTGAAGTCATGGTAAAAAAAAAGTTTACACGTGTTAAATTCATTATCATTGTTACTGTTTTGATTCTTTTACTTGTTGGTATACCTGTAAGTATTGTTTTGACAAAAAAATCGGATACAAAAGCAACAAAGATGATGGTAAAGACGGTAACAACAACAACACTAAACATGGAAACATCAACAACAGGTAGTTGTAAGAGATAATAAATAAATCGAATGAATGAGTTCGATAGATTATTTGTTGAAAATAACGATCACCTTCTATGAAAAGAACTAATTATCAGAGTTAGCAGTGAGAGAAATGATCTTCTTCCCAATAACCAATTTTTAATCATTACATGTCTTTTATTTGTTTAAAATATTTCAGGTATAGTCACAAAGACAAAAAGAACGACAGCAGTATATAGTAAGTAAAATACTACATATCCACTCTGCATATTTTTTCGATATAGCCATAGTTTTGTTTCGGTTCCAGTCGCATGAGAATCTAGGGATGTACCGAGTCTCTCGGGCTCAGTTCAGGCTCGGGCTCGGTCATAGCTCAAGTGTGAGGATGGGTGTGGTGAGTGCGGGTACTATCCTTTTCACTCTCACTCATACTTTCATCCACACCCACACCAACCTTTTAGATGAAACGCAAGAAATAGTATTCGTCTTAGTAGAGATTATCAAAGATTTGGATAGTGAGGTAGCATCCTTCTTTCTCTTGCGCTGGCTCTGATTGTAGTACAATCGAGGGGAAATTAAGCACTCAACTGAATTTTATTTCTACATCTCTTCACATGCATTAAAGAAACAATTTTTTTT